GACTACGTAATGGGAAATTGTTATAAAAGAATCGATAGTCGATTTAAACGAGAATATCGATTATTAATTACGCTTAAGTGATATTCGAGATACGCGAACACGTCGATTTGTCGAATAATCTTAATGCGCGCGTGAAAATGGCGACGCGTAAATTGAAACGAATATGTATCGAAATAACGTTTCGAAGCAAAATTGTATTCTGATACGGGGATCGATGATATAAAAAAAAAAAAAAAAACCATGCAAGTTGCCCAGAAAAAGCTCGACGTATATGTATAGTAATAACGAGAACGACGATCGAAAGAAAAAGACGTATTCACGCTGTTGCTCGTATAAGGAAAATTAACGAACGGAAAATGAAACGGTTCGACCATAATTGTTGCGTCCGTTGCCAAGAATATCTACCATGCGTAACGTCGCGATTCACGGAATGATAACGACGTGCATATTACAGAACATTATGTAATAGAAAATAAGAAGACCGAGTTGTGATACCTTTGTAACATTTATAAGACGATCGCTGTTTACGGAAGAAATTGTTCGAGACGGTTTATCGTTTTGGAGCTCGTCGATCAACGATCGTTTCGTGCCCAGCAATGTCGTTTTAATCTGTATCGATTCACCATCGATCGTTTATTGTTCTTCACACCTGGTTATTGCACTTACACTCGTTAGTCGCGCGAATGATCGTTGACGAGAGTCCGCGCGCCCAACGTTTCGATACATCGATTCGATTACTCGCTCGAACGGAAACGACTGTATTCAGAGCATAATTAGAATTTCTACCTTTAATCCATTTATTTATACAGGGTGTCCGGCCAACCCTGGGAAAAATTTTAACGGGAGATTCTGGAAGGCCAAAATAAGACGAAAATCGAGAATACTAATTTGTTGATTGAGGCCTCCTTAAAAACTTATTAACGTTTAAAGTTCCATAACGATCAGAAATTTTTTCGGCGAAATTCAAAAACTTCAAATCGTTCTGGAAAAAAATATTATCAGTTGCAGAGGTCAATTACAAACATTTTTGGTCAAAAGACATACCCCCGAAATCCTACTCAGTTTCGAGAAAAAAATTCGAATAAATACTGAAATTTTACGGTGAAATTCAAAAATTTCAAATCGTTCTGGAAAAAATATTTTCACTTCCAGGGGTCAATTACAAGCATTTTTGGTCAACAGAAATACCTCCGAAATCCTACTCAGTTTCGAGAAATAATTCGAATAAACGCTGGAATTTTTCGGCGAAATTCAAAAATTTCAAATCGTTCTGGAAAAAATATTTTCACTTCCAGGGGTCAATTACAAGCATTTTTGGTCAACAGAAATACCTCCGAAATCCTACTCAGTTTCGAGAAATAATTCGAATAAACGCTGGAATTTTTCGGCGAAATTCAAAAATTTCAAATCGTTCTGGAAAAAATATTTTCAGTTCCAGGGGTCAATTACAAGCATTTTTGGTCAAAAGACATACCCCCGAAATCCTACTCAGTTTCGAGAAAAAGATTCGAATAAATGCTGAAATTTTACGGTGAAATTCAAAAATTTCAAATCGTTCTGGAAAAAATATTTTCACTTCCTGGGGTCAATTACAAGCATTTTTGGTCAACAGAAATACCTCCGAAATCCTACTCAGTTTCGAGAAATAATTCGAATAAACGCTGGAATTTTTCGGCGAAATTCAAAAATTTCAAATCGTTCTGGAAAAAATATTTTCAGTTGCGTGGGTCAATTACAAGCATTTTTTGTGAATAGACATACCCCCAAAATCCTACGCACTTGTGAGAAAAAAATTCGTGTAGGTGGACAAATACTATTACTAATTTTGTTAATAACTTTTTAAAAAAGCCTCAATCAACAAATTGGTATTCTTGATTTTCGTCTTATTTTGACCTCTAGAATCTCGCATTAAAATTTTTCCCGGGGTGGCCGAACATCCTGTATATCAAAATATTCAATTTTTGAAGAGATTCGAGGCACAAAAACGTATAAATACACACCATAAATTACATTTCGATCTATGTTTACTTCCTATTTCGCTAATAAAGATGAATATTATTAAAAACCATTGAATTTTACAAAACGTTGGATAACAATATACAAAGCTTTCTTACAAACTGCATAATCGAACGGATTAATTGAAACGTTCGGCGTTATACTTTCTCTAAGAAGAAAAATTTAACACGCGGATATTTAACAGATTCAAACATGTTTTCTTTTGTAGGTTAATACATTCTGCCGTTTGGTATTACATTTATGTCGAAGTACGATGAATATTGTCGTACGACGAATAGTCATAAAATACAAATTTTTATTTGTTTTTAAATATTTCGTAGTTACCTTAAAAATTGTATCAACGACGGCACTGCTTTCAATAGAGAAATGTAACACATTTGTAATGACACGCTAAGGATGTAAACCTCAGCATCTTGGCGACAGATTCGAACCATTCTAACGCAACAGTTTCTTCTGTGCGCAGACATCGTGCACTCTTGTTGAACGATAGGAAGTTATACCGACGAATTTACGTCGAATTTACGATTCAATGTACGTGTTCTCGCGTCAGACGAAACGTGTAACAGTCATTGTTAATCGAGAACAGAATCGAACAGATGTTATTAAACTTTGGGACAAATTCACGCGCAGGTTTACGCACCATTCATCCACGAGAAGAAGTCACAGCGTGTTTACATCCCCACTCTTGCTGCAGTCCGCTGATTGGCTGTCACCGATCTCGTCACCGTTTTCGACCAATACCTGTGAGTCAGCGGACTACGACAGGAGTCTCGTGGACGAATGGTACATACCGAAATAGAATAATTAAGAAAACTGACTTTCCACAAGAGTTTCCCACGTATAGAAATTTATTAAACTTGAGATTTAGTAAACGAGTATAAAAGAAAAGAAACGTTCTATTCTCGATTAATATCGTAACGCGTATACAAACGTTCGATGTTGAGAGATATCACGACGAACAAAATCTCTCGATCAGAATCGAGGAAGCGATAGGGGACAACTTCAAACGTAAAAATTCGACGATAAAACGGGGAGACGTGTCAGAAACTATTTGTAAACAACAAGCAAGCAAGACCGGCTGATTTCATTTTGCGCCGATTTTCATTAATCCACACGAGTAAAAATAAAAAAACGCTCCATCCTCCACCGACGGATAAACGCGAAATTTTAGAGCTACGCATTCGCGCGGGTCAACGTTTAAAAGCAATTACCCTAAAGATCGCGCGTAACGAGTTACTTTGGTGTGTTTCGTTGATGATAGAAAAGAAAATGGAAATAAAAGTCCCGACGTATTTACGAGGTAGATGATAAAAACAACAATAATAATAATTAATAATGATAAATAATAATATTTAATAATAATAAAAATAATAATATTAATATAATAATAAATTAGTTGCAGCTTTCTGTGTAAGGTTATTGTGATATCTAAAAAAAAATAATAACTTTACCGTAGCGATATGAATTATTACAGAAATAAGAATCTGATGTTTAGTGAGCAAATAATAATAATAATTAACCAGTATGTCGACGGGCGAGGTTAAAACGACAATCTTAGGCCTCGTCAAAATACTGCCGGATACGCGGGGGCATTCCGAAAATCGAGCGCGAAGCAATCGAAATGATATATAATTCTTTTTTCTTTTTTTTTTTTTTTTCTCACGAACGAATACGAATTAAGAAACGATACGTTCAATCAACCGTTACGCGTATACGGAATTCAAAATTCCCGCGGTTCGCTCGATCGTTCGGAACGTTCACTTTGCATCTGGATCAATCCGTCCATAACGTGTCTCACTCCGAGACATTTGCACAAATGCGTGCATATTAATCATTGGGACTACAAAAACATATCACCATATGTAATGATAATGATACCGTATATATATATATATATATACATACATATATATATATTTAAAAAATATTAAGCAATAAGATTTTATTTATATGCCCGTAGAAAGAAAAATTTGAATGATAAAGCGAACACTGCATATCAACATGTGTGTCTGGGCAAGGATTAGCTTATATATATATACATAATTATAAATATAAATATATATACGTATATATGTGTTTATATACATATATATATCTATAATCTTTACTTCGTCGTTGTCAGGCGTTAATGTTAAACTTAATTATCATTAATTAATTATTAGATTGTGAAAGAATTTCTTCAGGTTCTAAGCAAGATTTGGAAATAATAAAAGAAGCAAAATACATCGTGTGTTTTTACTATTTCTAACAGTGATGGACATTCGTGGGAATTTTGGTCATGCGCGCTGGAGTGATTTGAAGTGGAAAGTTCAATTTTGTACAAAACATGGGAATTTCCAACATGCACCTCTTTTTGCGCTAAAGATACATTTATGGCAGAAAGCTAAAGCATGCGCGAAAAGGAATCCCACGAGGGAAAATTCTAGTGCGCATGTCCAAAATTCCCACGAATGTCCATCACTGATTTCTAATCCTAATTTTTATTTAACACTTTAATATCCTTAACCAATTACGAAACTTTACTACAAGTCCATAGAGGTTCCCTATATACGTATTTAAAGAATTAATGATATATCGGTGTCCAGTTCTCTAAGAGGCAATTTATAAACATAATAAGAAATACCTTACTTCGATCGAAGTCGCTCTATGCATATATAAATAATTTTATGATAGAATAGACACCATTTGAAATAAAGTAATATAAATTAAAGGAACCAATAAAAATGAAAAAGTAATAATACTTTCAAGAAATAGTGAAGAACAGATACGAAAGTAAATGCATAACAAAATAAAATATTACGATAGTACTAACAATTTTAATTGTCAATTTCAAATTTTCCGCAAAACTTATTTCATGGTGGCGCTAGTGATGCTAAAGCACTCCGTGAGAATTTGGCGGTAAACTGTATAAAAGTGTTTCACATTTCATAAGTGGTTGGACATAAATTGTTTACTCAAAGTTTATACACCTAGTTTGATTTGCAATGGTTCATACAAACGGCGAGGAGTGCAACGATTTACTTATGAATTCAGAAAATAAAAATCTGCAAGTATTTGAGAGGAAACAGACTGAATATAAAGATCTTGCGAAGAAATTCACGAGCACCAAAAGAGATTATTCAAAACAGTTTGCACATATATACGCTGTCAGACTTGCTGAATTAAGGAACGTTTTGATACCACGAGTTCAGACTAAATGGGGTATATATTTTTATTCTGCAAAAAACATTTATTTCGATTATCATTTGAAAGGTTATAGTAATAACACCATGGTACATATCCAACAGGTACTTGGTCAATAAAATAATACTTTTTCAAACATCACTTAAGCATAATTTTATTTGCGTAGGAAGTGTCCCCATAGTGAAATTAGCTGATTTGGAAAAATTCGAGGGCCAAGAATGTATACTAATTGGTACGCTTTATAAGCACCAGCAATGGAAGCCATCGATCTTACGTGAACTCAGCGAAGAGCATCAGCTTACTGCTCCCTGTTCTCGATCAGATTATTGTTCCGAAAAGGATCAACCCTTTTTAGAGGATGAAATGTTGCGCATTAAATTAGTAGGCGAACAAGTTGATATAAAAAATATTGTTACTGGGGTTGTTTGCGCCATAGTAGGTAACGAGAACAATGACGGAACATTTATGGTAACAATAATTTAAGCGATTAGAACTATTGTAACAATTATAATTTCATTGCATAGACTCAGAGTAACGGGTATATTATATTTAGGTTAAAGATTGGTGTTTTCCTAACTGTCCGCCAAAAACATCTTTAACAAAATGTACATCGACGGGAAAGCTAGTGATAGTATCTGGATTGGATTTGTCTAAAAGTTCTGAAAGTTTAGGAACATGCCTCTTTGTCGAATGGCTGTGCGGAATGGCTGGTAACGTAAAAGTACAAAAAGATGGAGCTTCCATTGTTAATCTTATTATAGCAGGTAAATTAATTTTAACGCTTTGAAATTACTCTGTGCCATTAATGTAAATTGATTCCCATTATTAGGTAATACTATAAAAAGTAATAACACGAAATACTCGGCAGCGGACACATTAGCTAAAGAAATTGGAGAAACAACAAAAACTGCTGATATATTTTTAAGTAATTTATCATCGTGTTGCTATGTCACTTTAATGCCAGGCGAATATGATCCTACTAATTCTATGTTTCCTCAAATACCATTACATCCCTGCCTATTACCAAAATCATCTAGGTATCATTTCTTTTACATACTGAGTTTACAAAATAACTTACGCACTATTTGTACAGATACACAAATTTCTTCTATTTCTATCTTGTAGACTTGACACTTTTAAAAGTACTACAAATCCATGGATTGGTAAAATTGAAGAGCAAGTAATAATTGGTACTAGTGGTCAATCGATCAATGATATTGTTAAAGCAACAGGTGAAACTAATACTTCACCTATTGAATGGCTAGAGAAGACTCTATTATGGAGACATATATGCCCAACTGCTCCAGACACATTGTTGGCCTGCCCATATTACGAAAGTGATTTATTTATTTTAAAAGAATGTCCAGATATATATTTTGTGGGCAACACCGAGAAATTTGAAACAAAACTTTGGAAAGGTTTCTGCATTTTGTATAACTAATCAAATTAATACTGTTTCGTAATACAAAAGTTCATTTACAATTTCATTTTCAGGCGACGAGAACCAAGTCGTTAGACTCATATCAGTTCCGCGTTTTAGCACCACCCATACTGCGGTCATAGTAAATTTGGAAAATTTAGAAACGCAATATATTTCCTTTGGCGATGCATAAATGAATACTCTATATATTTTTATTCTAAACAAGAAACATATTTTTGTATTTTTTTTATATAAACATTTGCAAATAAAACATAAGTGGTTTAAAAAAATTAAATTATGTATAAAAATGATATTCCATTTAATTGCATATATTTCATTGATTCGGGTTTTCTAATTTGTTTATTAATTAGTATAAAGAAAAAAACATGATCCATTACTGCCTATTTACTTTTATTCAAAATGTGATGTACAAAATCTAAGCACACGACTTTTAAATATATGTATGCTTGACTAAATATAAAGTATGCAATAAGAAAGAAATTACATGTAATATCACAGATTGTTCAAAAATCGCGAAATCACAGTGACATAAGATTTTAAACAATGAACTTGTTACTTAAACATGACATTGTGCTTTATAAATTATAAATAGTAGAACATAACAGTCAAAACGCAGGATGTAATCATTTTTTTTTAACAACAGTTTTATACTTAATTCACTTTTAATATTTTATTCGACTGTAAAAACTAAAACAAGCTAATTATATGATCCTTTCACAATTCGATTTTCTTACCTGCATATTATAGTATGAAAAAAAAAAAAGAAGTAAATGTAGATGACTATATATACAAGTTGACTGTTTTTGACTGTTATATGAGATGCGAAAGCTATGAAATCGTTTGAAGGAATAGTAATAAACTATGTAAGAGAAGTCAAGTATGGAAATACGATATCGTACAGAATATAAGGACACAATAAATTATAATATAAGCGTTTGCAATAATTTGATTCTAGCCGCGTGCTTTTAATTACTTTACAATGAACATTGCTTCTCGCAACTAGAAAATGATATGCAACGTCGAAGGGTAATTGCTACAGAATGTTTCGGTTGGCACTTTTATTTAACGTAAGAATTTGATTATAATATAAATACATTTTTATTTTTTTTAATTTTTTCATATAAAACTGTTTAATTCTGTTCGTACGAGATTCTAACTTTTCAAGGACTACGTCCCGTTATTATTTATAACAGTAAAAGAAAAACATAACAATATCATTATCCTAAATAAAAGGACGATATTCGTACAATTCTAATGCTTTGGCCGAAATAGCAATACTTAAAAGCAATTATTAAGGTTTTCCATTGATTTAAGCAGAAAGAAGTTATAAAATTTATATTTATAATACACTTTACAGATTCGTAATACCATTAACTTAAGGTGCATGTTACATGACCGACAGGTATATATAACAATTGACAGGTAGCTTCTGCATATAGTAACGACGATGTAGACATACTGTACTTAAAGGTTTTATCCTATCTTTTAGCTGTCGGACGTATTCGTTCCTTTTCAGTATCCCTATCGTCAGCTACTGTCCATTCAGGATCATTGGGATCCTCGCCTTCTATGTCACAACAAGCCGATTCCGTCGAGTCTGACTCTGGAGAATCCATTTCTCCGTCCTAGAAACGAAACATTATCGTCTACCTAAATAGTTATAAAAAAAAAAAAGCTATTTCTTTCTCGACGATTATTCTGCGTACATATTACAAAAACTATATTTCAATTTGCAAGCTTATAACAGCCGAAGAAAACAAACAGCGGGCTAATATCATCAAAACGTTCTAATGCTTATAAAAATATAAGATTATGTAAACGCAATGCAATCTTTCTTAAACGTTACTAAAAATCTGAAATATGCAATAAAATAAAACGAATCATGTTAAAATAGGAAGCATCAAATGGCACTGCTTACCAGAGACAGCCTCGAGGAGCCATGAAAGTTGGCTCAAAGTTTACATTAATAATCAGTACAACCACACATTTTGTCGTAATAGAAAGTTCTGACTTAGATAATTAACAGTGAAGCGTTTAATACAAGTACAGTGTACGTACATCGTCTGCTTTTTCTTCTTCGCGGGAACAAAGAGACGCTGACGAAGCCTGCCAATGCCCGTCTGGCATCACTTCTAACATTTTGTCATAAACTTCTTCGGTCAATGGAAATACTCTTGGTTCGTATGGCAAAATCTAATCAAAGGCGTTATACGATTTCATTAGAACACCATAACGTTGTATTTAGACAAATCTTGTACACATTGTTATAATAATGACACTTGTGTCGTACAAAAAGAAATAATACCTCATTTTCGTCTTCATTTAACGAAGTGATAGTGTCATCCTTTCCTAGTCTTAATGTAGGCGTGGTACGACGTCGCAAAGCATTTTGTAAAGCAGATGTGTGTGACCGATGCGTATCGGAGTTTTGTTGATGTTCCGAGTCTTGAATTTGCGATGGAGTCGCTGGAGGTGATGTAATTGGCGACATTATATCCCCGCCAAAATCACTTGCGTGAGGGGACATAGGATCTAAAAGGGCAAACATAATTCTGCGTGACATCCTACTGTTTGTAAACATTCAAAATATAAATATTTTAATGTTGACAATTTCGATACTATTATACAAATTAAATAGTACTAAAATATTAAGAATTAATATTAATTAACCTGGTGTATTTGCACCACTGTCTGCCCGACTATCCGTCCTGCGGTTATGACGAATACGCGACTGATGTGGCATATTCACATACGTCATAAAACGCTTGTTTTCCTCTCGCTCGCTCCGTTCGTGCCTCAAAGCAATAGTTTCATCCGACATATCTTCGAACTGAGAAGAAAAAAAAAAAACAGCGATAATCGTTGTTATTTAAGAGATATTACTAATTTTATATTTTGAATTTTAAATAAACTTACATCACTATCTTGACTAGGCCTATGCATAACACCGTTTTTAATATCCAATTTTGATGGTTCATCGCATAACCTCCACCTTTATTAATAGAAGTAAAGGTATATTATAATATAAATACACTTATGCATTTTGAGACGTAAAACACTAATTCGATAAAATATTACTTACTTTGGTGTTAATATTTCTTTATATTGTAGTTTTTCGAGCCTAGTTGAAGCAGCTACGCTGTATGGTATAACAATATTATCGATATCATATGAATTTTGCCTCAGACGTCTGAAATTGCAAATTCGATTCCCGACGAAATTAATATAAAATGAATATTTATTCTTTGTAGAACTAATCAATGATACTAACCCATGAGAAGTGGAGCTTTTTTCTTTAACAGTATTTTTCTCTGAAGAAGCAGCAGTATGGTGCAGCGGAGAAGGTACCGGAGACGAATGTTTACTAGAGCTGGAAAGTGCGCTAATATCATCATCGTCTTCGGTTGCTAATTTCTGCACCCTCTTTCTACTTATACTGTGCACGCTTCTATCATGGCCAAGCCTGTTCCTTTTGCCCTTCAACATTTTTCTCTTGATTCCTACGAAAAAGAAATCGATGATAAAAGCATGCATACATTCAACAATATAAATAACAAATAGTTTTACACATAGAAGATTGTTCATTGTTGAGTACCAAATATTTTGAAATTTTTATCTTGAATAACAAACATCGGGTTTATGTTGAAAAAAAGGAACTGTAAAATATTATTTTGGAAAGTATTTAAAATGATTGTCATTAATTTCAATCGATTCTCGAACAGACAGTAAATAAATATACCATAATTGGTTTACGAATTTAAAATTTTCATTTCTTATTCGTAAATCGAATTTGCTCAACTCTGTTCTTGAATACAATAAATGAATGATTGTTTCGCAAGTTTGATAAGTGCTGAAATGATGATGGTACACATATACCAACTCTTTCCTAAGGATAAAGTTAATTTTTAATGTACCTCTACAAGAGAAAATCAATTAGAAGTTAATAGAGAATACTTTAAATACCTTCTGAAATAAAATGAACATACATGTTTCCCACAGAATTCGTAAATTTCATAGAATTCGTATACATATAATTGCATTTATTTTATACTGCTACATTAATGAAAATATATCCTGTTTAAAAAAAAAAGTCAATAATCTTGAAATTTCATAAAATGTAAATCTGTTTACATTAACATTAAAAATGTTTGCTTATCAAAATATGTACCCCTTTAGAAGGAACAATCTTCTCCTTTGACATTGTTTCGTATTTTCAAAAAGTAACAAATATTCTAGGCGCTCATATTAAGGAGAATACCTTATATATTATACAATACATACTCGCTGTAAGAATAGTTGAAGACGACTTCTTTAACCGAGCTGTATATTTTGTTCTATGGCTTGGAAGTTTTTTATTCCTTCTCTCATTGTTATCTTTATCTTTCAGTCGTGTAATTCGTAAATTTCCTCTTAACATTTTTTGCTGCCACTCCACTGATTTCATGATAGCTTCAAGGTGAGTTCCTTGCGTAATTTCTACATAACAAAAATGTTTAAGTAAATTATATGTATGTCTACCGATCTCTACAACGTATAAGAGTTAAATAATACACTTTATTTACCATCAGAAAATGACAAAACAGGATGGTAACAAGGATCAACAAGTGCAATCCGTTCTTGTACAGACATCTGTTCAATTGGTTCCTGCGGTTGCATCGGATCCAATCTTCCAGTGCATAAAGCACATGGTGGTAATACATTATCACAATTGCACCTTACTGTTGATGCTTTTGCTGCTCGTTTCGAGACTTCATGTAATTTGTCTACTTGTAATAATTTCCTCTTCCTATAAAAACTCCAAACGAATGGCCGTGTTCTACTAGCTGGCAGTTCACTTTCCGGTGAATTATAACGTCCTGTAGAACCTGGTAAAACGCCACTATACCCATTCACTGCTTCTGCATTATCAAGTATCACTAATCCCTTGTTAGACCTAATATGCCGTTGCAATTCATTATGTTGTCTAATTCTATATTCCAAGTCTGATATTTGTGCTTGTAACCATGTCCATCTTGCTGCTACACCTGCACGATCTTGAGCATACCTCCATGCTGCTCTTTTTGATCTACAAGTAACGTTATCAAAAATATACTAAATGCAAAATACTTGGAACTTTATCTTCGATAACAATTTCATTATTAATGATAGAAGTATTAAATTAACTTTAAAAATATATTGCAAATTTCACGTTAAACTGTTGACATTAAATATCCTTATTTAACACGAGCACCATGTGTACCACCAGCTAATCTTTCTAATCGGACGATATGATATTTTTAGTATAAAAAGGTATATTATTATAAAATATTTTACGATCGATTCATGTTTAATTATCACATATAAGGTTGTTATCACATTGCCTATCATGGGTGGTATATGATACGTAGTAATATACCATCCATGATATATATTAACATTCAATTTAAGTTTCTTTCAACATTAAAGCAATTGGCACTTCTTGTTATATAAAAAGTGTTAAAAACTTAGGTACTTAACTCGTAAATATACGATTAAACGAATAGCAGCATTTCGTAGCAAATACCCTAATAGACTCATCTATGTATGCCTTGCTTTAACACAAAGTATCGTATCATGTTGCTTTAATTATAAACTGTTACTGTAAAAGTGATTGATTTTCTACACGATTATATATTCTATGTATATTCCATTTGTTTTATTCTATGCTATATTTTGCATAGTACCTCTTTGCTTTGAGAATGACCCAATTTTCAGTCTTAAATTTATTATAAAATACAATTTTAAGTTTACTTAATAAATACACTAATGTGTTCCTTCCATCAATGATACATGTGACCCACATGAAAAGTTGTGTTAAAATGATGCGTCATTCAATGAGTTAAATTATATTAAATTTTAACATTTATCATGCATCATGACAAATTTTACTATATTCAATGGCTACTTTTTTTAAATGTTTGCGCATATAGTAGAGAAACAGCATTCAGTATCTAAAATGTAGACATTCTATACTAAATAGGAAACATTATCCCGCTAAAATTATCAGAAACCGACCCAAAATATTATTCGGTTTCCAGCTTCTTCATTTATGTACTGAATCAAAGAAGTTATATAGAATAAGATAAAAGTTTTTTATGAATCTATTATTAATAATGGGTATTATGAAAATTGAAAATTATTTTGTTAGTATATGTATACATATTATAAAAATGGGTATAAGTGCAACACATATTTCCATTCTACTTGAAATAAAAAACGAATAGAATGTCGATAAAAATTATTTACTAGATAAACAATATAATTCAAACATAAATTAAAATTGAATTCTTGTTATAAAAATGAATTAAAACTCACATAGATAAATGTTGTTGATGCGGATTATTAAATGTCTGCATTTCATCACAACTTTCTCCACCACTACTGGACGCAGTACAATCGGAATCAAGATTAGATTCAACAATATGCAGTTGCGTAGCTAAAGGTCCAGCCACTTTCTCCACTTCATCACCTTTAACTTTAACTTGAGGGGTACCAAACACTGGCTGACGATTACCATTATTGCCCGAAGTACTACCCAAACTGTCGCGCGATCCACCACCAAAATATCGGCAACATAATCGCTGACGATTCACACTATTGCTCTGAGCAACACACATTTTTTCAATTTTTTGCAAAAACGAATTCAAACTACTACTAATCTCAGGAAAGTTTCTAACATTAGACTTAGAACTGATATTAACCAATTCTTGAAAAAGATATTTCTTCACTCCATGGTGGGCAAGTTCAAGAACTCCTGTATTTTCTTCCGCAACATGCCTCCCTATTAATCTTACTTGAAGCTTCCTCAGTCTTCTTAGTAGAAATGCGCATCTCCTTTCGTTCTCAAACTGTTTTTGTGCAACAATATCCTGCTGCAACTTTAAGTTGTTGGTTTTATGTTGGTCCACTGTGTCAGCAATATTCATATGATTGCAAATACTCATAACATCAACGTCGTTAAGTAAATCCCGTTCAAAGGAGGAGAATCCTTCCTCGGGCATAGAAAACATCTCCACTCCATCCACGGTGCTTTGCACTGGTTCGCTGCTGCCTGCAGATATATTCTCTGCATTCTCCGCTCCTTCGATAGATTTAATAACTTGCAAAATATCTTCAACATTCTGTCCAATATCGCCGACATTGCCCATGTTACACTGCTCACTATCGGTAGTTATATCGGTTCCGAAGGCCATTATCTGATCCACGTCTAGATTTTTATTGTCTCCTACAGTTTCTGAGCATACCAAAGGCAAGTCTGCGCTTGATTTTAAGAAACCCATATTATCCGCTTGATCACCCATAGATGGGTCGTTCATTATAATATCAGTCAACTTTTTCTCTGGACTGCCCAGAATGTCTGTTTGTTCACAGTCCTGTTTAATTAATGCCTTTTTTGTAATCAGGTCAGATCCGTGCGTAAATGTAGACAAACTATCAAGATCGTTGGCGTATTTCGAATTGATGACATCACGAATGAGATCTTTGGATATACCATGTAAACACTGATCATCAATCTTAGATGGTTGAACGTTTGCAGAGACAACAAATTTTGCCAGAATTTCACGATTCTGACACACTTGTACAGCCTGCTCTGGGGAAAGGAACCCACCAGCTGGAAGGGAAGGGAACAAATTTTCAGGCTTTCGAGGACCGCCTTCCGTCAGAGCAGGGGCCATCACTGCCACTGACACTGCCAGTGCTGCGGCCTCGACATCCAGAGGCTCCCACGTGCGAACGCACCCACGCCTGCACTTCACATACGCTGTGCTCACTCCCATTCATCCATTACTAGTTTGTTATCCTGCGCCTTTATTATATTTCTTATCCCCCCAATAAGTTTCCCCTTTATGATTTTCTTCTTCCTTTGTATCGTTTTCCTTATTCCCTATTCATTCCTCGTTAAACATTATGTTGTTTCGACAGTCTTTTCTATGCCCATGATGTTTAATTTCTTCATTTGTATGCTCGAAGCCGATCGATGACATTAATTAACCTGTAAGTAAATTACACAAGAATAAATATTTAAATAATGAAAATATTACGAACTTTGTTTCATTATAATTTTCTAATACTCTTGTAACAATTTACTATTACGATTTTAACATAATCTTACTCTTAATGAATAATAAAAGCAAAGTTCGTTAAATCAAGAACTTGTACAAAAACATAAAATATCAGTATTATACAGATATTTTTAATCCTTATAAACTAAAGATATGAAAATATCAATATCACTGCCAGATTCTACTATCGATATTACTAATATGATCATGATCATGTACAATGTTTCAATTTTTACAATCCTTTCCATTCATATTATTTATACCCAAACAAATGAATTTAATGCAACTTGAGACAAAATGTTATTGTGTTGTTTACTAAAATCATCAATAAAAGAAACTGACAAGAATTGCTATTGTTTTGTTCTAGGTTTGAGGTTTGTATGATTCATGATTATCATTATCTATAAAAATACACATCCATAATTTTTTAGACAACAAAATATAATAGAATCTTTAAACAAGCTTGCCATAAAATATTCTGTATTATGGTACGATCTAAAATGAATTTAATACAATTAGGCAGAAACCAAGAAAATACTGGTATTAATTTTAGTATTATTTTGTCTCTAATATTATTCCAGTTTCTGTATTTCTTCGATTGTATAAATTTTGGCATTATAAAAGTTTCGATACAGTCCAATCAAACTGATTAATGATACAAAAACAATTGTGGTTTCAAATCTCTGCATTAAACTCCTGTTAAAGATAAAATTCATTTCATTCCATTCTTACAAACACTGTTTTATTGCAGCATTATAAAAGTATTATTAAATATAATAAAACTGACATAAAATGAGTGTAAAGAATTTATCTTGCTAATACAACATGCAAGGCAAGTATGTTGCGAATAACTAGAAAAATCAGGATGTAGTGAACTTTTATACATGAAAAATGATTTATAAATGTAGAAATTGTAATTTGTAAGTCCAAATAATTACGGTTTGTCCAAAACATTACTCTTTTACTCTTTCTCTTTACTATGAAATACATGTGTATGAAAGAAATACAAATTAGACATTACATCAACAGTTATTTGAAGCATGCATAATTTCATGTACATGAGTCACATGTTTTTAAAACTTGAAAGTTTCTAATTATTCATTCAAACAACTGTTTATATTATCATATTGTCCAATGATTATTGGACAATACGATAATACGACATGATGATAAAGTGCATGGGTAAACAAACACTACTAACAAAACATTGTAAATATTTAATGAAAACAATTTAGACATGTAATTAATTAATTTTTAATCAAACGTAACGTTAAACAATGTATCATTTCTAAGTAATATTTAGTCGAAATGGGAAAACAAGGTAGTGCAAAGCTATTCTAATAGAGTAGCAAAGGAAATTTTGGAGTACTGCTCACCTTCTTTTTTTTGTACGCAGACAGAAGGCATATTTAAAGTTGCAGAATATTCAGGGCAACGTTCCTCGTAGAAGTAACATCCAGGCACAGCAAGATAACATAAGAAGAACGTCAGAAAGGCGAGAGAGATCGTTCTTCCCACGAAGATATATGTTCCAGCGCTGGATCACTATTTTCGAGCGGTGAACTTCGAACTAACCCAAAGCGGTATGCGACTGCCGGCGAACGATAACAACGCGTTATTAAAAAATTGGAGTACGTCGAAACAGGAGGACGCGCATGAAAGAAAGTTCAAAGAACACTTTGAGAAAGCCAGGAGGTGTAAATGACGGGAGGGAGAAGAGGGGGAAGGGGGGAAGGAAGGAGGGAAGAAGTGATGTAAAAAGGAAGAGAAGGAAGCGGAGTAGGAAGGAAGCGTATTCGAAGGTGTAAAATTCGCGTTAGCCACTGCTATATGGTACGTTGCACATAATTACACTAGATATCACTACCGAGTGTACATGTTGTTGAGATTAATAACAGGTACGGCTAGCATCGCTTGACGCATTCCCACGTGATTACTCGTCGCGAAATATAGAAAACCAAATGAGCGGCGGCGGCGGCGGCAGCGGCAGCGTTTCCTCGTCGTGGCACAGTATTAGAAAACAAATATAAAAACAACATGCCGCACAGCACCACCGCCGTCCTCGTCCTTAGCTGAGGAGGCAGTTCACTCTCGTCAGCTGCATGTCTATTGCATAATGACGCGCAAGATTTGTATCCCCCGGGGGGTAATGGCACTCGTGTACGGATCACTTCGCGTCGTCGCCGATGTCCACGTACGCGAAAAAACCTTCACACACGCGACTTCCGCAGAGATGCCGAGAGCATTGAGAGTACCACGGAGAGAAAGGGAAAGAGACAGAGGAAGCGACGAAACCGAGAAAGATGCGAGCGAGAGAGAGAGAGACAGAGAACGAAAGAGAAGGCGAAACAGAGAGAGAGAGAAAAACACTAACGTGTTTCGTCTGGCGGAATAGCGTAACCACGAGACGGTGCGTTAACGCGAACGTAGGCGCGTTTACACGCTCGAACGGCGATCGGTTTTTTTAAAAGAAGTAAACGAACGAGAACACACGGAAGAACGAGGCAAGCGGCTTCCTTCGCGTTACACTTGTGTGGCGTACAATGGCGGAGCAAAAAACAGATTCGAAGGCAGCTTCTTTTGGGCAGTTTCCCCTCCTATAACGCTCACCTCACTTCGGGGGCGCTCGACATAATCGCACATACACCCGCAAGATCCACGAATAATCGAGCGTTCATGGGCACTACGCAACACGACACGACTTTCGTGCAACTCGCGCGGATATAAATGTCCGTCACACCCAATGCACGATAATCCCTTGGACGATTTCTCGTTGGAAGGAACGCGCGTACTCCTACTGTTTTGCGTCACTTCTTTGTGTTTGTCGGTATGTACGCGGATCCGGCAGTTTCAGACTTTCCCTCTTCGGACACGAACACCGATGTCGATTTTAGTAAAAGTCACACAGGCAACGCGAGCTATTTATCAATAATATATAGGAAATTCGACCAACTTCGCTGTTGCTGAAGCGGGATCGACCAATGCTGCAGTGCTGCTGCCGGATGTGGCCTTCGTGCCACGCTGCCCAATCGGATTCATTTTCTATCTATAATGTCGGCGGTAAAGTCCAATTCGCAGCTCGATATGCGAACACCAATGAAAAACCCTAGACCTGCACGCCAATTTTCCCGCTTATTCCCTACAGGCACACCTGCTCTTACAGAGCAAACTGTAAACTCGCATGTACGCTGAAACGATAGCGTCATATTAAATATAAATACATCATCAAATCTTCGTATGTCATTAATTTGTTTTTCGATAGGTGTGTTTAGAATTTAAATACATCTGTTTCAGTCATGATACATAATTGTTTGCGTTGTGCAAAATATTAATAATACGTTACATAAAGACAGTAAAATCAAAAGCAGCTACAAACGGTTGACACTATTGTTCATTCTGATCTTATTAATGTATATTTAAATAGATCATTACCGTGTAATTAAATTTTTTAACACTTCTGACGATAAATTGACACGTAATAAAAATTTAATACGTTATTACTTTTATCAATACATACACAATTGTTCAATAATCTATGAAATAGCAATTTCGCATCATGTATATGCATATCTCGTAACATAATTTGTTCTGTAAATAATGGCAGTGTGTAATAATGTAATTATAACTGTGAATCGGTTAATCGTCAATTAATTAACGAATAACTTTTTATATATAAACATTATTAAATAAAACTCACAAATTTCATATAGATGCAGCAGGTTTAAATGTTTGTACTGCCTCGTTATTGGTTTAATTTAATGTCAGCAACGTCAGATGGCGAAGTGCATAAATACATACGGGGCTGTCAATAGTGTCAACACTGTTCGAAGATTAATATTTATTAAATATGACAGGTGTAATATCGTAAAACTAGTGCAATACGATTAAAAGAAGGTCGTGTTTATTAAAAAATAAGAAGTACAAATATCATAAATTTTTGTGAAATGGATATCGCTAAATCTTTGTTCAATGTTCGTGATCATGAAGGTTATGTTGGAAAAGAAGATCATAATGTAAATATTTTAATCTATTTAATTTGAATAAACTTATAATAAATCAATTTTTTTTTTGACAAATACAATATACAGAAATCTATGCATTCATTCGCCTAAAAATTCCAGTAGAATATTTAATTTGTAATGAACTAACAAATGTTGGTACACATCTGTTAATTTTTTGCTAATTCAAATTTGTTTATTACTCCGCTTTTCAGAAAAAATTGGAGACAGCTATGTCTGAAGATGAATTCGAAGTGGAAGTCACAGGATTGTGCGGAGAAATTTTATCACCTGCTCCTGGGGGTCCATTTTCTGCTTTGACACCATCCATGTGGCCCCAAGACATTTTAGCTAAATTAAATCAACCAGACGATCCTAATTCCCAACCAGAGTATAGGTAGTTTTTATATGTTGCTTTGTGTAAAGTATTATTTAAATATGTGAAAATATGTTAATAGTCGATTTGCTGCGATAAAATACATTAGGTTCGATGAATTTGGTTTTCGTGTGGAGGAGGAAGATGGTCCAGAGCAAAGCTCAAAAAAATTGTTAGGTATTCCGTTTGTTGAGGATCCCCAACATAGGTACAAAGACAATTAATGTGTACATATATATATATCTTATACCTCTATTATGCTATACCTTCTAATAAAAATTAGCTTTATGTATTTAGGTTACAATGGGTTGCTCTATTAGAATTTAGTCATAATAAAGAAGTAACAGAAATTTCGTGGCAAAATTTGGATAGGAGATTACCTCGCACAGACAAACTGCGTGATATGGTCCGTCATGGTGTACCTCATTCGCTTAGGCCCCAAATTTGGATGAGAATGTCAGGTAATGCATATTATATATTATAAAAAAAAAAACTGTTATGAATTGTAATATTTTAATAATTTAGAATCATAGTACTTTATAATATATAATTATAATATTTTACCTGTTACAGGAGCATTACAAAAAAAATGTTCCACTGAAATGATATACAAAGATATAGTAAAAACATCCGATAATGACGCTTTAATGACTAATAAACAGATAGAAAAGGATCTACTTCGTATTATGCCTGCCAATGCATGTTTTAGCCATCTTCATAGTACTGGAATACCACGTTTGAGACGCGTTATGCGAGCTCTTGCTTGGTTATATCCTGATATTGGGTAATAGTACTTTGTTAACTATTATTACAATATTCTTATCTTATTACTCGATTTTAATTATCTATTTATTCTCTAAAGGTACTGTCAAGGTACAGGAATAATAGCTGCTTCTCTCTTATTACTCTTAGAGGAAGAAGATACGTTTTGGATGATGGCTACAATAGTAGAAGATTTACTGCCAGCATCTTACTATTCTTCGACATTATTGGGTAATATACTATAAAATCAATATAACACATTAGGTCTGTTCAATATAAATGGCCTCGCGGGCTAATTTCTGTAATCAAAAACTTGTGAAGTGTTGTGTGAACTAAAGAAAAAGGGAAAACGTCAGTGATGAATCAATTTGTGAGAATTTTTCCCTCTGTTTCTTTTTAAGTATAAAAGGAACAATACTCTGATGCCTTGAAAATTGACCGGTTGCTATCCCCACCAGTTCTTGGAACTGGCTTCCTATTTGTCCAGACAACCAAACACTTTTATGTTTTTAAATCTGTCTATCTAATTATTTCTATTTCATTTGCACTTTCTGCAAAAAACTCTTCAAAAAACTCTTCAACTTTCGAAATTCGACAGTCTGTTGTCGCAAATATCAAAATAATGCCGGGAATCGCGTATAGCCCACGAGTCACAATTTAGCCAAGACTGTAACAAATGATAACATAAACAATATATTTTTAATTTCTTAATATTACACAGGTATTCAAGCTGACCAAAGAGTACTTCGTACATTAGTATCTAATTATCTTCCTGATATAGATCAGGTTCTGGTTCAACATGACATAGAGCTAAGTTTAATATCCCTACACTGGTTCCTAACTTTATTTGCTTCTGTTGTACATATGAAAATATTACTACGGATATGGGATATGTTTCTTTTCGATGGATCTATAGTTTTGTTTCAAGTTACACTTGGACTGTTAAAATTTAAAGGTATGTATTCATTACAAGTATAATACATTTTTTACATGATGTAATATTTAATATTTCTTCAGAATCTGAATTAAGACAACTGGAAAATTCTGCACAAATATTTAATGCTCTCTCAGATATACCAGGAGATATCGACGATGTAGAACAATTATTTAACGTAAGTTGTTGTTTAAAATTTCAAACGGTACTTTTTTTATTGTATGAAATTGCCGTCACTTAGAATTATTGTTTTTTAGGTATCTTTAGAAGTAAGTGGATCATTAACAGACGTTCTGGTCGAAACCCACAGACGTAGACATTTAGCATATTTAATGGCTCTTCAGGGAGGATTAATAGGTAATCCCGATGCTGTACTAAATTTACCAAAACAGCATCTCAATAGGTACATTATCTATGGCTAAAATTTTAAGTGATCATACATAATTAAAGTTTAAAAATGTTGCGTAAACGTATTTAGTTTTTAAAAATACGCTCGAATATTTTTGTTATAATTATCTACATTTTTATGAAGGCGTCAAATGAAAAGAACTAAATCGATGCTACAAACATTCTTATTTGGAAATTACGAAAATGAAGATGATGCGAAATCGAAAAATATTCGTCAAACTGGTACGTAAACACGTTAAACATAATTTATTAAGACCGTCTATTCACTGATCATGCGTTCACAAGTTGTTCATTCTGACTATGGTATACGTATCGTGGATTCGCAGCGAAGATTTACGAGTTGCATGGTCGGTGGATACGTGACCTAATCCATTTCAGTATATCAAAGATTAAGTGTAATAAATATTTCAGAAATATTGGTGGATTTAAGAGAAGCTGTTTTGCAAGTTGCTAGACATTTTATAAATGTAGATCCAAAATTAAGTACTATTATACTTATCGCAGATTACACTATGGAGAGCCATGCAAAGGATCATGATAATTATGTCAATGTATCACGTACTAGAAAGAGAAGAGCCAAAGCACTATTAGGTATTTCAACGTAAATGAAATCGTTGCATTTGTAATTAGTGTAAATTTCATTCTATTGCAGATTTCGAAAGACACGACGATGATGAATTAGGTTTCCGAAAAAATGATATAATCACGATTTTAAGTCAAAAAGATGAACATTGTTGGGTTGGAGAACTCAACGGATTAAGGGGGTGGTTTCCTGCGAAATTTGTAGAATTATTAGATGAAAGAAGTAAACAATACACATGTGCTGGAGATGATGCCGTTAGCGAAGCTGTAACTGATTTAGTTAGAGGAACTTTATGCCCTGCTATAAAAGCAGTATTAGAACATGGAATGCGTAGACCGTCGTTTTTAGGCGGGCCTTGCCATCCATGGCTTTTTATAGAAGAAGCTTCAAACAGAGAAGTAGAAAAAGATTTCAATTCCGTCTATAGCAGATTAGTACTATGTAAAACATACAGATTGGACGAAGACGGTAAAGTTCTTACGCCAGAAGAGGTAATATTAATCCTTAATAATTTTATAATAAACTACATATTCTGTTTAAGTTTATGTATAAAATAATTTTTATTATAGTTATTATATCGATGCGTTCAATCAATAAATTTAACACACGATAATGCTCATGCGCAAATGGATGTAAAATTACGGTCTCTCATTTGTCTGGGATTAAACGAACAAGTGTTACATTTATGGCTCGAAGTTTTGTGTTCTTGTGTAGAGATTGTACAAAAATGGTAACAAATATTGAATAAGCATACGTAAAGTCATTTGTGCAATTTATATATCGCATATTTTTCAGGTATCAACCATGGAGTTTTATAAACAGTCCTGGATGGGTACAAATTAAATGCGAATTGAGAATATTAAGTCAGTTTGCATTTAATTTAAATCCGGATTGGGAATTGCCACCTAAGAAGGAACAGTCGCAACCTTTAAAAGATGGTGTCCGCGACATGCTGGTTAAACATCATTTATTCAGTTGGGATCTTTAGCGCACGACATGAGAAATATTAATAATATTTGTATTACAAACTTCTCGCGTATCACATGCACCAGCAACAAAAAATATTAGAATTTACATTGTGTATGTGTATGTGTGAAAGCCTATATGCATGTTGCATGAAAATACAATAACATAATACTTTCACATTTTTATGTATCACATTTAAATTATTTGAGCTTTACTGTTAGTCGTAAACAAATGTCAGAATTTTAATTATCTAATTTGTTATTAAACTAATTCATTGCAATGTAATACGAATTGTATATTGTATATATATATATGTGTGTGAATACATGTATATTACATGTTGCTCTTCTAGCTAAAAAAAGAAGTCGTTAAGTGAATGATGGATAGATCACATGCTTAAATAATCAACGTGGTAATCGCTGTATTTTATATTTTTAAAACTTTTGATGATAATTTGCATGATGATATTATTTATTACATTGTGATTATTACATATGTACTTTCTTTAATATATAAAATTCTTAATTTATACTAAAATAATTTTTTAATTGTATAAAATATATCACAGTAGTAACTTTTCGTCCTGTAAATGATTCGTAAGTGAAAATTTTCTATCTCTGCGGCAACACGGTTCTGCTAAATTATCATCAATAATTTTTATATTTAACTGCTCAACCTTATCTTTGACAATATGCGATGGTCTAGCTAAGTAATCGTCCCAATCGAAAGTCATCCGTTCACGCATTCTTCTGTATCTTTCAATAGTTGAAGGATCAATATACAGATCATGATTATCTAAAGAATTTTCAAATATCTCCTTTTCGAGAAAATTTATTTTACAATCGCACTTTCGTTTTTTTATATAAATAAAATGTAAATCCATAACATTAGTGCCTGTGAAACCAGTTTTCAGTATGTCTGAACCTTTTTTAAATCGTGAATATAAATTATATGTATCGTTATCGTCTAAAGCATTTTCAGGCAACATACGTTCCACTTCCATTACTCGATATATCAACGGAAGTACATCTTCCATGTCATCTACATCTTCTGCGTCGGCAGAAGCATTTTCTTTTTCTGTTACTTTGTTTTCTGTCTCATCCTTTTTTATTATTACAAAGCCACTCAATTCATGTCTTTTACATATTTCTTGAGGCCGTTGCTGTTCTAATTGTTGTCGTTCTTCTTCTTTCTTTTTGATAGCCTCTTTCTTCATTCGTAATTGATTTATGCCTTCTGAAGCTAACATTTTTGCCTTCGCATATAAATCATGAATTATTGGTCCAATAGCAGGATAGCCAAATGCTCCTGCTGCATCAGTCGGACCATCTTGACCATCCGTACCTGCACTTAACATTATTACATCATATTCAGCAAACCGGGGATTACTTTTAATCTTTGCCAACCAGTCTAAAGAAAAGTGTAGTGCTAGTTCTTGATTTCTACCACCCTTTCCTTCACCTTTAACTATTACTGTTGGTTCCCCTCCTCCAATCAATACTATTCCCTCGCTACTCACATTTTCAATCAAATTATAAATTTCATCTACTTTAGTAGCAGGCAATGAAAGTATGGGAATATCTTTCACTTGTTCAAAGAATTCTTCTTTCTTCAATGTTTTATCTAATACAAGACACATTAAACTTGTTATATGAGCATACGCTGAACTCACATCTTGTACATTGCCTGTAACATCAGTTCGTAATATAATCGGAGTTAGCTTTTTACGCTGCGCTTCAGAAGCAGTTGCTTCAACTGCCACTTCATTATTTCCCAAAATAATATTATTTACATGTTTAAATGCCCTTCTTCTCCCTCTTCCAGTCAATAATGGCTTATCCTTAAAAGTTTCCTTGGATATTATAACTTTTCTCACATCTCCTTCTAGTTTATCGAACAAGTCGTATTTCTTTAATACATTTATTACATGCCTAGGTACTTTGTTGTTATACACCGTTGGGCCACTAGCAATCAAGTCTACAGGATCACCAACAATATCAGATAAAATCAAAGTAATAACGGAAGCTGGAAATGCCATTCTAGCTAAACCACCGCCTTTTACCATAGACAATTTCATTCTTACTGTGTTCAACTCTTTGATATCGGCACCTGAATTTTGTACCATTTTACAGAGTAGCAATTTATCTTCACGATCAATTATTGCTCTCGGCATATAAAGTAATGCGGAACCTCCACCCGATATTAATACAATTAAAGTATCATTTTCTGTTAAAGATTCTACTAAATCTATAATATCGTGCGTTGTGTTTAGACACCTGTCGTCTGGTTGATTATTTACACTACCTTCACGATATTCTACCACACCAGTCGCCAATTTAGGAAAATAAGATTTGTCTTCTGACTCCCACATTGCATCTGTCGATGCAGAAGGCACGCTAACTATACCTTTCTTCAAATAATTACCAAGCATGTGCTCGAGAACTATTGACATATTCATCACAGCTTTACCAAAACCAACTAAATAAACATTTTCTTTTAACTCGAAACTTTGATCACCAACTTGTAAAATTCCATCTTTAAATTTAACTTTATTTATTATTAGAGTTTTTGGTGAAACCGCTTTAACACCAGCAAAATACATATCTTTCAAAATTAATTTAGTTTCTTCTAGTATTTTTATATCTGTAGACATGTTTTTACTTGAAAATTTTACGAATTTTAATAGGTTAGGTTTAAAGAGAGTCAGATTACTGTAAAAACGTCAAAAAACCATTAAGAAATATAAAAGCGATATAATATTTGCGTTGTTAGGAACTATTAAAACACTTGCCTGTATTGTGCGCATTTACGTAATGCTCTACTATAACGCATTTTTAAATCACAATTATACTTTATATACACTTTCTTATTCCTTACATTTATTAGATAAAACTCATAATCTTATAAGTCTATACGCAAACTTGCTTCAATTTATTTATTTACGTATATTACATTTACAGTTTATAACTGGTTAATTTTTTATTTAAATTGATCGATATTACAAGATACGTTTTTAATATAAAATTTCAAAATGTATTGTAACATTAAAAAATTGCATTATTTTTAGTACACATTTGTAACACTTGCTATGAATTTATAGATTACAAATGCTGACTATAAAACTACATCACATTCAGATTATATTCTATATATACATAAATACAGCAAACAATTGAGATACATTGTAAAGTATCAGGAGTGGATATAACTGATGTATGGTCGGATTCAAACTTTTAGACACTTTTAACTTTAATATGTAAACTGTATTATTTAAAATTATAATAACTATTCGACAAAAAGCACATAAAAGAACATATACGTAAAAAAAGTCATAGGTGACTACTCTCGACGAAAGTTCAATGCAGAGTGTCTCTGCCGCCGACGTCGAACCACTCGACCCTCTCAACTTGTATCTATTCCAAACAAAGAAGCTCACAGACACGGAGGGCTGTTTTTGCATTTCAGCCTAAACGTAAATAATTCGATCATCGGGCCTATTTCAGTTTAACATAAACAATTCTATCATCGATACACGACACCAACGATAACGATAACATTTTTATACATACAGTTATATTATTCTTACAACATACATATTGAACGAAATTATTTATACATATACGTTTAAATTGCATTAATATTTTCGCAACACTATTTTTTTTTTGTCATTTAAAGTCAATTTAGGTTATTTAAAATCATATATTAAATAAATAAGTATTAATTCTTTAACTGCTATTGAATGTAAAAATGTTTGATTAGTTGCTTAAAATCGATATTTGAACGCAGAGATTGTTCTTACGTTTAATAATTTGTGGCTCTGAAAAGAGCCGATTGTTTTGGAATTTGTTGGTAAAATTTAACCGCCAAATCCGTAAAGAGTTCTTCCTTGACGTTTCAGAGCATAGACCACATCCATTGCGGTTACAGTTTTTCTTTTCGCATGCTCTGTATAGGTAACAGCATCACGGATCACGTTTTCAAGGAATACCTTAAGAACACCTCGAGTTTCTTCATAAATCAAGCCAGAGATTCTCTTCACACCTCCACGTCTTGCCAATCGTCGAATAGCAGGCTTGGTAATACCCTGGATGTTATCACGAAGTACTTTTCTATGTCTCTTCGCACCTCCTTTACCCAATCCTTTTCCTCCCTTTCCACGACCAGTCATGATGAAAATATATTTACTGCTATTCAACTCAAGTACCAAATCGAGTATGTCATCTGGCCACCATATGGGGGTCGTTATATAGGGAGCGTTCAGGTCTCCCCACCATTTCCTCACTAACCAATCAGAAGCAGCTGTTTTGTTCTCGAGTGGCTATAAGAAGGGCGCGCAGTACTGGCATTTATCAGATTTGAGAGAGTCTTTGAAAGAGAAGGTTACTTTGTTCGTTACGAATATTTACGAATATGGCACGTACTAAGCAAACTGCACGCAAGTCGACAGGCGGTAAAGCACCACGGAAACAGTTAGCTACGAAAGCTGCTCGTAAAAGTGCTCCTGCTACTGGTGGTGTGAAGAAACCCCATCGTTACAGACCAGGAACTGTAGCACTTCGAGAAATTCGCCGTTACCAAAAAAGTACCGAATTGTTGGTTAGAAAGTTACCGTTCCAACGGCTTGTACGTGAAATCGCTCAAGATTTTAAAACTGATCTTCGTTTCCAAAGTTCAGCAGTAATGGCCCTTCAAGAATCTAGTGAAGCTTATCTTGTTGGATTGTTCGAAGATACGAATTTATGTGCTATCCACGCCAAGCGTGTTACCATCATGCCCAAAGATATTCAACTTGCTCGCCGTATTCGTGGCGAACGTGCATAATCTCATTACGAGTTAATGCTAAAAAAAAACCGGCCCTTTTTAGGGCCAACACATTATTAAACGAAGGAATATTCTGAATCTTGCAAAGAAATCTTTCTATTTGGTGAGAAAACATTGAAAAAGACGTTTACAAATTTGATTAATTTGTAACTACTACTACTTCGTTTTGGTAACTAATTCATTGCTCATATTTTCGACGATATTAGGTAATTTGGAATGAGGTATGATTTACTCTTAAATTGTACTTAATTGAAGAAGAAAGTCAAAAATGTGTGTAATTTTTATATGAAATACTTTTTCACTGTAGGAATTGGAATTATTGTAACTTGTCCTTTGTAATACTAGCCTTACTTACCACCATGATGTAGAAAAGGTTGGGAAGCACTGACATACATATGTAGAATAAGGGTCACACGGGGTGCGTTGCCAGATGTTTTCACAGGAAGTAGGGGGGGTTAGCGATAAATGTTCTGTTAGTATTTTAGGGTACGTCCAGTCCGGTACAAACCAGTTATTCCAGCTTATTTATATTTTATTTTCTTAACAAAAGGGATAGTGTAAGGGAATGAAAGAACGAGACAGACATTTGCGCACCACGTGTATGTTTCCAACGTCTTGTACCTAACCCGTGGTTAACGAAAAATCCCACTACCTACTATTCGTTATTGACGGACGTTACAACGTCCGCTGTAGAAATACATTGTCGTATATTAGGCCGGGGGCACACGAGCGTCGAAACGACGTTCGTTTTTATGCCCTTCCTTGTTTATTGAAAAGACATAGGAACGCAGATCTTGTCTGTCTTCGTTCTTTTCAATTGCAAGACAAGGAAGAACATAGAAACGCACGCGTTGTAACGTCTTTTCTGACCGTCGTCTTTGTACGCGTCTTTACGACTGACCCTTCTTCGGGAAAACCCGGCGACAGCCCGACGCCGAAATGTTTAACGTCGGTCCCTTCGCATGGAGAACAAAGGCACCTTATTCCAGGCCTGTTTTCGAAGCAGGTTCGCGTTGGGACGGAAAATTCCAACACCGCAGTAATAGTGCTATTTAAAAGAGTCAAGACGATCTGAATTTTTTGTCGAATAATTTTATTATTGCTGTTTATTCCCCTGAAAATAAATGCTCGTTAATTTTTATTCCAAACACCATTTTGTCAGATGTAAATGCTTCAAACATCGGTGCGACCGTTAGAACGAACACCCTGTACAGTGTGTCTCAAAAGTCTTCATACAGTTCACAAATTTTAATTATTATAACAAATATAGTAATTTGAGCTGTTTTTTTATATAATATTGTGGCTTAATTAAATTTAGAAACGTGTTAAAGAAATAAGATTGTTTATTAAACTTATTAACAGAAAGACGTAAAAGAATGTAAAATATTAAACCACGGAAGAGTTCATACATTTATGATATCTATGTACATAAAACTAAAATAAGATTGAACTTAATATTGCATTATTATTTTGTTGGTCCACAAAATTAATGTTTTTGTAACATCTGGAGTAATTTCGTTTCAAACTTCTTGTAAATGAATTTTTAAAGATTTTTCATCTGTAATGATATTTTTTGATTCTATTACTTAACTCTGCCCAAATGTGCTCAGCAATAACCAGAGCCGTATGAATCCATAATATCTTCAATAATACTAAACAAATACGAAATTTCCTGTTTCCAATGCTACAATTGTACCCCATACCATTATATATGAAAACTTTCGTGACTGACTGTATCAACCAACCGATTCTCCCACCATCAGGTTCCTCAATAGTTAGGCAGCCAGCGAGCGGAGCGAGCCTTTGTTCCAAGTTAGGGGTCCCATTGAGGGCCGTTTTTCTACGCTTGCGCGGAACAGGAAAGAAGCTACAACTGGCTTGCAAACCGGCAGTTACTCATCTCTAATCTAACCGGCAGTTGCTCCTTTGACGACGATTCTCTACTGCCTTCAATCATATCAAGGTATGTAATTAATCTTCAGCAATGTTTTTCTGAACATAATCGAGTACACATCGTAGAATATTTTTAATCATTTTAAAAACTCACGCGATACTTAAAAAATGAATTTAACTTGAATCCTAACTAGAATCCTATTTGATTTTAACAAATCTAAGTTACTAAAGTAAGAAATAAAAACAAGTTTATGAAATTTGTTCGGTAAATACAAACAGAGAATGTTCCTTCGTTTTAAAGTATGTGGGGCCCTAAAAAGGGCCATTTTGAGGTATTGAATTATTTTCAATTAAGCTTTCTTGTCGGTTTTCTTCGGTAGAAGCGCTGCTTGAATATTCGGTAGAACACCTCCTTGAGTAATAGTGACTCCAGATAAGAGTTTATTCAACTCCTCGTCGTTGCGGACAGCAAGTTGTACGTGTCTTGGAATAATTCTTGTCTTCTTATTATCTCGTGCTGCATTTCCAGTCAATTCCAATACTTCTGCAGCCAAATATTCCATAACCGCAGCCAAATAAACTGGTGCACCTGCACCGACGCGTTCGGCATAATTGCCTCTTCTTAGTAGTCTATGGATACGTCCCACGGGAAATTGTAATCCAGCTCTAGTCGAGCGAGACCTTCCCTTTGACCTGACTTTACCGCCTTTACCACGACCAGACATTTTTTACGCTTCAACGAAACAAAAGAGAAACAATCGAATCAACCGTACTCGGCACGATACAACTCAGGAATGATGGTTTGCACGGTTCGAGCTTCGTTTATATGCCGTATGATGTAGCTGTATGACGTAGCGCCGACCAATAACAGAAAAGCAGCGTTCTCATTGGTGCGGAGGTACTTCACTTTCTATTCACCATTATTTTGCCGGATAATCATAATTTTTGTCAATTTGATACTGTATTTAATGTTTTCTTTGATACTTATAATAATGAATATAACAGTAACTTAAATTTCTACAATAATACTATAAAATAAAATGTATGGATATACATACATATGTGCGTATGTATTTGCAGATTGAAAAACGGCATAAATTTAAGCACTCATTTATCCGATTATATTTTATATAAAATATTAAAGCAATTGTTGTAGAATTTATCTTCTATATAATATTATTGTTTGGAATAACGCTGTCAGAATTATTTAATCATAGAGTAAGAAATTTATTAATTTTCTAATACTGTTCCTTGTATTAAATTTGTAAAGCAATAAAAAGTTTAACAAATTTTTTATAAATAATTTTTAGTTTTTCTTTAGATTCGAATATTGTGCCTGATTCAAGTTTAAAATTTATAACATAACTGAAAGGAAATATTTATTATTTACTATGAAAACTAAACAATCGTTATTTATTACTTTCTGTTTTAAATTAAGTATTTCAATTGAAATAAGAGAAGAAAATACTTCGTTATTTCAAATATTATTTTATTCGTTACTATAATACTATCATGGAATGGCCATCTGGTCGAATTTCAATAGGACCCCATAGGGTTTACATCTGCCTCTCAAGCTGTAAGGAGCGAGCCAGATGTCTTATTGTTAGGACTCAGGAAGAAATTTATTTAATTTTATTTATTTTATTACATTGTGTACAGTGGCTTACACTCAAAATTGTTTGTCATTAGGTTCCTATTGTTTATGAAATGTAATATATCGGTAGGACACTTTCACAAATATATTTTCTTTATTATTACTCGTTTACTGATAAAGAGTGTTACAATATTTTGTAAAATATCAATAAAAGATTAATATACGTAATGAAAAATAGGAAAACTGTCTTTTGTTTTTATACTGAAAGATAAGAGAAGCATGTACTGCAATGGAAGTATGGAAGTAACAAATTTTTTATCATAATCGAGATAAATTTTGATATGAAAATAATTGAAGGTATATAACATAAACCAGAAACTAGAATTGGGTGACAATGTATGTATTGTAAATAAGGAACAAATAAAATAGGTGTTACAGGGTGTATATTAATATTCAGGTAATAGTATTGGAAATTTGATAATATAAAATATTAAATTTATATTTGTATGTAATTACAGTTAACATTATTGAAATTAACGTAGAACATACGCGAAATTTCTTTTAATAGTGAAGTTCCTTTTATTTTCTATTTTGTGGTCTATCGTGTAATTGTAATAATACAGTAATAATATTTTTACACTGATTGTAAGACATTATTTTAAAAACTGTAGCTCATAAGAAATGCTTTAAATTTATTAGATATGTGTACGTACAAAATCAATCGCAGTGTAAGAATGCCGTGAGAGTACCGCCGCACCAATCATATTCACGGAGCTCTGTGATTGGTGCGCTGTAAGTTCGACTCCAGTACATAAAAGAGGCGCGCAACCGCCACAAAATCATTCAACGCTCACCGAGCTCAGTGTACAGTGGTCAGTCTCTGAATATTCGAAAGCATCAAACCTTCATCATGCCGCCGAAAGTCAGTGGTAAAGCTGTGAAGAAAGCTGGTAAAGCCCAGAAGAACATTAATAAAACCGACAAGAAGAAGAAGAGGAGGAGGAAGGAAAGTTACGCAATTTACATCTACAAAGTGCTCAAGCAAGTTCATCCTGATACTGGAATATCCAGCAAAGCAATGAGCATCATGAACAGCTTCGTCAATGACGTTTTCGAACGTATTGCAGCGGAAGCTTCAAGATTGGCACATTACAACAAACGTTCAACAATTACGTCTCGGGAAATTCAAACTGCAGTAAGACTGTTACTACCTGGTGAACTGGCAAAACACGCAGTCAGCGAAGGCACCAAGGCAGTGACTAAATATACCAGCTCCAAATAAGCAGAATACTTTTCTGCTATCCAAAAACGGTCCTTTTCAGGACCAACAAATATTAGATACGTGTGGAACAATTTTCTTGTGTTAAAATTGAAACTTCTCTCACCAAAAAAATCCTTTCTATATTTAAGTAAATTATCTTAATATTCTGATACTTCTAAACAAAAATTATATCGTTTATAATATGTGGTTAATTTTATATATGAATTTTATCACTTGCAAATGTTTTTAACTTTGTCACTACTTTGAAAATAAACTCAAATTAAATAGTGGCTAATTTTTAGAAAACAAAGTAGTAGATGAAGTAATCAACTGAGATGTTAAGAAATTTAAATTTATACGTGTTGTAAATATTTTGGAAAAACACAATTATCATAAATCGTTTTCGTTTTTAAGTAATGTAATTTTTCTTATCCATACTAGTTTCTAATCATAGAGAAATATAAAATAAAATCAAATATTGAACAAAATTGAATATTATTATGTAATTTTATGTGGAAGGTTTTTTAGTTGTTCTTAACAGATGTAAACCATATTAAAAGAAGAAATACATATAATTTAAATTGTATTGTAGAGTAGTTAAAAATTCTCTTTTCTCTCTTTCTCTTCCTTGTCTCTTTTCAGTTTCCTTGTATAATCTACGTTTTGGCACGCTTACAATTGCTTACAGCTTTAAATTAACGACATGTACGTACAAGCAAACGCGAGCATTTAAAACAAATGGCTATTTATAGTCAGAATTAGACAAATTTTATTCGCTAATAACAAATAAATGTTCATTCATAAACTAGCTTTTGCCAGCGTTTTAGGCACTCGAGTGTCGGTTTAAATAATACATTAATGAATTTATGAATGAAACGTAAACGGAAGGTTAGTACACGAATGAATCTAAAATTTGTATTTGTTATTCGCACATAAAGATTTGCCTAACTTTATTACAATACTTAAAACGCATGAGCGTCCAAACCAAATGCAATCTTTTTTTAGTATTGAAAATTTAATATGATAATACATTTTCCACTAAATTATAATTGCGTGATAATTGCCACAATAAAATTAAGAAATTCCCTAAAAATTTATTAATTACCATCATGTTAGGTTTTTAAAACGTGTGTATACCAATAACTTTTTATGCTACTATAGTATGCTACTTGTGTAAGATGGAAACGTTGTGATTACAGCTATAAAGGAAGGAGCGGGATTCTTAGAGTATTCGGCTCGGTATATTTGTTTGTAAGAATATTAGATAGCTCGGCATATATAGTCTGGCAATTAATTCTTGGAAATTTTATTATCAATTATTACCAAGATAATATATTTGTGGTAAACTGTAAACATGTCTGACGAGAAGAAGGTAACGCTTTATAACCTCAAAACCGATAATATGATCGTAAGTGATGATTGAAAAAATATAATTTATTGCAGGAAACTAAAACAGAATCGGAACACATAAATTTAAAAGTACTGGGACAGGACAGTGCAGTGGTTCAATTTAAAATTAAAAAACACACACCACTCAGAAAATTAATGAATGCCTACTGTGATCGTGTGGTAAGTTTTGTTTCATTATTTATTATATCTTAATATTAAACCATTTGTGTTTACATTGTCTTGAATTATTAATAGTATCATCAGGACTATAAATAGTATTATCCATTAATAGTAATAATACGATAGCTATTTTATTATTTAGATAGTTTTAATCCTTTGCAAACTGACATTTTAGAACATGCTTGAGAAATAATAAATATAAGAAAATAACATCTATCTAAAAGCAGTTTCATGCAATAGCTAAATATTATTTTAATTTAATGAATTGTTACGTACGTATTAAAGAATTTAGCTTTTGTTAATTCATGACAACCGGTTTATAGAGGATTCTGAAATGTATGCCCAAAACATTAAAAGTATATTGCCTGCGATATACAGACACTGTCTGCAAGGGATTAATACACTTGATATTAATATTTTTATTCTCAAAGTATATTGTGTTTTAACAGGGCCTAGCGATCGCAGCAGTAAGATTTAGATTCGATGGGCAACCAATAAATGAATTAGATACGCCAACGACTCTTGAAATGGAAGAAGGGGACACAATAGAGGTTTATCAGCAACAGACAGGAGGATGGTGTTGAGATTTAAGATTGTCCTACAATAGTTTAAAAATGGACTTGATAAAAAATTTTTGTTCCAGTGCTTTTGATAAAGAGACGTGAATTATTTTTAATCTTTCCTAACTCTACAGAATGCTTTGTTTCGTAATATAATGTGGAAAAGTTGTTTACACTTTTTATATACATCAAACTCTATACCTAGATGATGTTCAATCTGTGTACTTGTTTTATCTATAGAGTATTCTTTTTCTATAAGCATTTTATATAATTTCAAATCATATAATAAGATTTAAGAACTTAATATTTTTCGCAATGTATTATTACACAGAGTGTTTCGTTATCTTGCCCTTGTTTACAAATTTTGTTATTTTAAAGAAACAAAAGAAAATCTACACCATACAAACATATATAACTAACAAGATATAAAATTTTTTGTAAATGGTTTTCACAGAAAGTTATAACGCAAATTCGTTTAATAAATTTCATCTTAGGTATTTTCATTTTTCATAACGATGTACAGATAAGAAAGTGATGAAGAGCATTGTTACAAAGTTATGTTAATATTCAATACTGTATCTATGTCTAAAATGTTCGTAAAAATTTAATTTACATTTTATAATTCAAACTTAGTATTAACGTTACACTTACTTTTACTTTCCATAAAATTAATATTACTTTGTATATGAACATAAATAAATTGTGTCTTATCTTTTCTACAAGAAATTGTTCGTTTTTTATTATTTTAGATAATTTAACATTTGAACATTCGCAACATTTTTAATTCATAATATAAAATACAGTATATATAATATATATTAATCATTTATTATATTTAATGTTCAGGAAATGTATTTGCAGTTTTTTTAAGACCAAAACATATACTTAGTAAGTTTAAGATATTTTAATAGTTATTGGTTTTACTTATGTTTACGCATTCATAGTTTGAATTCCATTAATCATTTTTTAGTAGAAAACGTTGGTAATGATATTATCAACAATATTTAAATATTAATTAATATTATTAAAATATTATATATGATAACAATATAACACATTGAGTACAAAAAAAAAATAAATTTATTACATTCCTATATAATTAACACAAACTTCGTATTAATATTGTACTTGGACCATCATGAACATGAGGCGCAAAAACGTTTTCTGCTTAGTGTAAATTCAGGGAAAAACACTAGATTAGATGTCTTCTGATTTTGGATTGGCAGAATATGCATCATAATTGCATTTAACCAGTCAGTGCTAACAACATATTTAGCACCTTTCGTTACGATCAACGGTAGTGTGGACATTGAAACAAATCATTTGCAATAAAACGAAAATTAAATATCGGAATAAAGTAGTATATTTTGAATACAAATACCCAATTAAACGTACTTTTACAAATAACATTCCTGTATGTTCTTTAAATAAAAATTTGTGATAAAATAGTTTCAGTCGAAAAACAAATTATTATGCATATTTTATACAAAATTTTATACATTTAAAGAATTCCTACCTCAGCGCCGCCTACGGTAAAGTGAGAAATCGCTGGAAAGCTTTTCTATTTAATGCTATGTTCGAGAACATGGCGGACAGTTCATGAATAGCTACACGTAAACAAAGTGTAATTTACACTAATTGTATAATTAACAGTGTTTTGTAAATAATAACATTACTTATTGTAAATATTAACCATTTACATATACATAAGAAACAGTAAATAATTTGATTTATATGTGATACTTTGATATTTTCTTTATTAAAAGCTATGAAATTGATGTATACTGCCTGTAATCTACTGTAAGTTCGGAGGATCGATAATTTTTTTTTTATCGATCTAACATTATATCAATTCGTCAAATTTTTTAATAATAAAAATGGCTGATTCCGAGGAAGAAAGTGATAGAGACATAATGTCTGCAATTAATATGACTGGCTTCTTGTTTGGAAACATCGATGACAATGGTCAACTGGAAGATGATATTCTTGACCCAGAGGCAAAACAACATTTAGCTTCGCTTAGTCGTCTTGGCTTGAGCTCGTTTATTCGTGAAATGATACCAAATGACAATACTACAGAAGAAATAGACGATGAACTTGATAATAAACGCGAAGGAAGAAATCAAATAATCGATGAGAACGATATGAATTATAGTGAAAAATCACCTAATGCTTTTGATTTCTCCGATATCAATGAATTAGCAGATGATGTAAATGAGGATAATAGTATGTACGACAAATGTTTAATACAGCGAAGATTATGTACAGTTTTATATGGAATTTAAATTTTAAGAATGTTTTACCTAATTTATTAATTTATTTTCAAATATATAGATACATTTGGTGGAAGAAGTGAAAAAGAAAATGATTACGATGCAGACGACGAAGAAGTTATTAATAAATCTGATACGCAATTAATGCCACCACCTCCGGTGCCGGAGGAGAAGGAAGTGCTTACTGCGGAAGAGGCAGAAGCCGCTCGTCAGCGAAAATTAGAGACTCCCCTTGCTTCTATGTTACCATCTAAATATGCCAATGTTGATGTCACCGAATTGTTTCCTGACTTTCGCGCTAATAAAGTATTACGATTTTCAAGATTATTTGGTCCAGGAAAACCTAGTAGTCTTCCGCAGATATGGAGGGGCGTTAAAAGACGTCGTAAAAAAAAGCGACATCATGATATTAGAGATTCCGATTCTGGTTCTGATCAAGATGAAAGAAAACCAAAGTTCAAAGTATGTATAGTATATAATTGATGATTCAATTTGAAAAATAATAGTAGTTTTATCTTTTATAAAAGAATGTTTATATTAGGGTTGGATGATGCAATATGGTACAGATCCAACTCCAGATATGTGCCGGTCCGATGATGAAACTAAATTACTATTACCAGTAGAAGATAAAGAACAAACTGGCAAAACAGGCGAAAGCGGAGAGAACGGAGATATGGGACCAAAAGTAGCTGATTGGCGGTTTGGGCCTGCTCAGCTTTGGTACGACATGCTTCAAGTTCCAGAAACCGGAGATGGTTTTAATTATGGATTTAAAACTGCAGATAAGGTACTCAATTATGCATATATGTATATTAAATATAATCTGCAAGTTAAAATTTGGGTCCTTCAAGAATATCATAGAAAATACTGTTATTGTGTATCTTATAGATGGATGAACACAATAATAAAGAAACAACAGAGGAGTTTTCTGATGATGCATTTTTAATGGTATCGCAATTACATTGGGAAGATGATGTTATTTGGAATGGCGATGACATAAAACATAAAGTAAATGATATTACTTTGATATAAAACATTTTATACGATAATATATATAACAGATAGTATAATTAGGAATGTAAATGTCTTTGCAGGTGTTACAAAAATTAAATAGTAAAAATAATGCTGCTGGATGGGTACCATCTAGCGGAAATAGAACCGCTCAAGCATTTAGTCAACCAGGAAAAGGTGCACCTGTTCCTGTTGCATCGAATATTCGACTTGCTACTTCACAAATTACAACTCCATTACACATGCAATCTCAGAAGAATAAAATGTAAGAAAAGCAAAGAGATTTGTATTATTTTTCTATCGAAGTAGAATACATACAGTTTGTTTCCAATATTTCTTTCCTTTTTTACATTTTTAACAGGAATATGAATAAAGGAAGTCAGCAACAAACACGGGAAGAAAATTATGATGACACTTGGTATTCCATTTTTCCTGTAGAAAATGAAGAACTGGTATATGGATTGTGGGAGGAAGAAGTTATTTGGGATCCTGAGAATATGAAAAAGATTCCGAAGCCAAAAATTCTTACTTTGGACCCGAACGATGAAAACATTGTTCTTGGTATCCCCGATGACATAGATCCAGCATTGCTTCATAAAGATAACGGACCCCAACCAAAAGTGAAAATACCCCATCCGCATGTTAAAAAGAGTAAATTATTGCTGGGAAAAGCTGGAGTTATTAATGTTTTAGAAGAAGATACCCCACCACCGCCACCGAAGTCACCTGACAGAGATCCATTTAATATTTCGAACGACACGTAAGTTAATTTCGTAATAGTAAAAGTAATTTTAATTTTATTATTTATAGTTTTTTGTATTTTATCACTTCCGGCTGAAAAGATGGGAAAATTTGTCTATTTACTGCATTTATCACTAAATGTTTGTGATAACGTCTGGAATTCTTGACAAGAGTTTTAGAAACACAGTTATGCTCTCTATACATATAAACGCTCGTAGAGCCACGAATCATTTTATTTTAATTGTATTGGAACTATAGTTTTCGTCGATTTTTAGATACTACATGCCAAGGTCATCGGAAACGACACTAAGGTTAAAAGTTGGCGGTGGAAATCTAATACAGCATAGCACACCAGTAGTAGAACTACGTGTTCCATTTGTTCAAACGCATATGGGACCTTTACGACTTCGAAATTTCCATAGGCCGCCTTTAAGGAGATTCAGTTATGGCCCACTTGCGCATCCTGGCCCTCATTCTGTTTTGCCGTTATTGAAACACATAAAAAAGAAAGCCAAAGTGCGTATTATTTTTTACTACTGTACTTTTGTTAAATACGAACAAAGATTATATATGTAATGTCTGCGCATTAGCAAAGAGAACAAGAAAGAATTGCATCCGGCGGTGGAGATGTATTTTTCATGAGAACTCCCGAAGACTTAACTGGTAAAGATGGCGAATTGGTACTCGTCGAATTCTCGGAAGAGCATCCGCCGTTAATGAATCAAGTGGGAATGTGCTCTAAAGTGAAAAATTATTATAAAAGAAAGGCTGGTAAAGACCAAGGACCACAGAAATATAAATATGGCGAAACTGCTTACGCGCACACCAGCCCGTTCCTTGGAATTCTTACGCCGGGTCAAAGTATACAAGCAATCGAAAATAATATGTACAGAGCGCCGATCTACGAGCACCGAATTCCAGAGACAGACTTTCTAGTTATCAGGACGAGGTATTACGATAAGATTCGAAAAACATTTTTTTTATTTTGATTTTTTATATTATATTTGTACGCAGGCAGCAATATTACGTCCGAGAAATGGATGCCATATTCGTTGCTGGACAAGAGTGTCCACTTTACGAAGTACCGGGTCCTAATTCCAAGAGAGCTAACAATTTTGTGAGGGACTTTTTACAAGTTTTCATATACAGATTATTTTGGAAGTCGCGAGATACACCTAGGCGTATTAAAATGGATGACATTAAAAAAGCATTTCCGTCGCATAGCGAAAGTAGCATTAGAAAACGCTTGAAGCTGTGTGCCGATTTCAAGAGGACAGGTATTTACGTGTACAGATAAATTTTTGCAAATACAGTTTAATAAATGTATTGAAATTTTTTTATATTAGGTATGGATTCTAATTGGTGGGTAATAAAGCCGGACTTTAGATTACCAACCGAAGAGGAAATTAGAGCAATGGTATCTCCGGAACAATGTTGCTCGTACTTTAGTATGGTTGCGGCAGAGCAACGGTTGAAAGATGCTGGTTACGGTGAAAAGTTTCTTTTTACTCCTCAAGATGACGACGATGAGGAGATGCAATTAAAAATGGACGATGAAGTTAAAGTTGCACCTTGGAATACAACACGAGCATACATTCAAGCCATGAAAGGCAAATGCCTGTTACAATTGGCGGGACCAGCAGATCCAACAGGTTGTGGCGAAGGATTCTCTTACGTCAGAGTTCCAAATAAACCAACAATTAGTAAGGTAAACATTCATTGTGTTAGAATTACTTTGCACTATTTCAAATGTTATTGAACATTACAAAGGAAAAATTTGGTCAAAATTTGGTATCTTTCCACTTAAAAAAGACCGGTTACGAAATTTTATATATACGCTCACGTCTGTTTTGTTTTATATCTCCGGAACAGTGGTAATGTCATTCAATTTTTACAAAATTTGACGAAGAATTTGGTGTTGGGAGATATTGCCATAACAATGTTTTTCTGTCTTATTCTACGTAAAAGTATTCTTCGAACGACAATAACTTGGGCATTTTTTAATTTTTTTATATTTCTAAAAGCAAAAATAAGTTTTAAAATAGAAAAATGCGTTTATGTGTACATAAATTTCAATAGCAAAAGATGTATCCTCATTCTTTTATCCCTGTGATGTTAAAATATTCGGTTAAATTAACAATTTAGAAGCAAAAAAATTGATAACATTCTAAACTAATAACTGGTAAAGTTTTACAACAACGTTACTAGCTTTTTCGTATGTAAATACGTAACTAGCAATACGTAATTACATAAGCTAATAAAATATTGGTGCTATAAGCTTAATACATACTAACGTTAAATTTTTTTCCTTTTGTTAATATAAATCAGGAAGAACAAGAAGCTCAACCGAAGAGGACTGTAACTGGAACTGACGCCGATTTAAGAAGACTGTCGTTAAATAATGCCAAAGCGTTGCTTCGTAAATTTGGTGTGCCCGAAGAAGAAATTAAAAAATTATCCCGATGGGAGGTAATAGACGTAGTTAGAACATTATCCACGGAAAAGGCTAAAGCTGGGGAGGAGGGTATGACAAAATTCTCGCGTGGTAATCGATTTTCGATTGCCGAGCATCAAGAGAGATACAAAGAAGAATGTCAAAGGATTTTTGATTTGCAAAATCGCGTCCTGTCCTCCAACGAAGTGCTAAGTACCGACGAAGGTGAGAGCTCGGAAGAAGATAGCTCCGATATAGAAGAAATGGGTAAAAATATAGAAAACATGCTTTCCAATAAGAAAACAAGCACCCAGTTGTCTCTTGAGCGAGAAGAGCAACAGCGGCACGAATTGCGAAAGATGTTAATGGGCGAGGTTCAGGAGCAAGAAAAAAAGAGCAAAGAGAAAAAGAAAGACGACGAAGAGGACAGTCCTATAAATAATTTTAATGCGCAACAGGGTAGGGTTCTTAAGATTTATCGGACGTTCAGAAATCCGGAAGGAAAAGAGTTTAAAAGAGTGGAATTTGTTAGAAAGCCAGCGGTAATAGACACGTATATAAAAATTAGGAATTCTAAAGATGAAACGTTCATCAAACAATTCGCGACTCTCGACGAGGCGCAGAAAGAAGAAATGAAACGGGAGAAAAGAAGAATTCAGGAACAATTACGTAGGATCAAGAGAAATCAAGAACGGGAACGTATGATCGGTGGTCTAATGACAGGAAATAACGTATCGTCGCATAATATATTCGACCGTAGCAATACTAATATTCCAATCACTACATCCTCAAACAGTATCCTTCCTTTCTGTAATTCTTTCCAATCTACTTCTCCTGCTTCTAAACACCCTAAACCTGAAGTATCTCCTTCGAAACGTAAGAAACCTAAACTTAAACCAGACCTTAAATTAAAGTGCGGTGCTTGCGGCAATGTGGGCCATATGCGTACGAATAAAGCCTGCCCCTTGTATCAAAATAGTATAACTACAGCGCCAGTGAATGTTGCAATGACTGAGGAACAAGAGGAAGAAATTGAAAAGCAACTTAATACGGATGATCAGGATCTTGTCAATGTAGATGGAACTAAAGTAAAGTTATCGTCTAAATTGATCAAGGTAATTTATTTGTTTAATTACTTTAGCCAAGTCCCTGCTTAAATGATATGCCACTTGATAGTTTTACTTTGTTAAGCATGCCGAGGAAATGAAGAGGCGTACGTTATTGTTGAAAGTGCCCAAAGAGGCTGTGAACTCGAAAAAACGAAGGCGAGCTACCGGAGATGATCACTGTGATTACCTTAAACGACAACAGAGACCTGCTAACAGACGTAGAACTGATCCAGTCGTTGTCATGTCTACAATGTTAGAAAGTATACTTAACGAAATGAGAGATCTGCCTGATGTTCAGCCTTTCTTATTTCCCGTTAATGCTAAAGTACGTCCACTTCTATGAAAAATTCATTATAATTATATAACTAGAATTTATTTACTAATTTTATGAATTCCTCCCATTAGGCTGTTCCTGATTATCATAAAATTATACAACGACCTATGGATTTACAAACTATACGCGAAAACTTGAGATTAAAGAAATACCAAAGTCGAGAAGAATTTTTGGCCGATGTCAATCAAATTGTAGAAAATTCAACGTTATACAATGGATCAAAAAGTTCATTAACGGTAGCAGCTAAACGTATGTTAGAGACTTGCGTAGAAAGGCTCGGTGAAAAGGAGGACCGTCTAATGAGATTAGAGAAAGCAATTAATCCTTTGCTTGACGACAATGATCAAGTTGCCCTTACGTTCATTTTGGACAATGTAGTTAATAATAAATTGAAGTCGATGACGGAAGCTTGGCCATTCTTGAAACCAGTAAATAAAAAGTTGGTGAAGGATTACTACACTGTTATCAAGAGACCTATGGATTTAGAGACTATATCAAAAAAAGTATCTGGTAGGTCAATACGCATTGTTGAAAGCTCGGTGATGCGATATGTGGCTCTCTCTCTCTCTCTCTCATTCGTTGCGCCGTGTACTTTTTGTGTTTATCTGTTTTTATATGTCAAGTGTCGCGCCTTATATGTTGAGGCAAGAAGCCAGCCGCAGCCAATCAGAATCTTTTTCGTTCAGGATTGGTGCGCTGGTACTTCTTGCATTTCGCGTTCGCGAGGGTGGATCGCGCGTCCCAAATATCGGGAAAAACTCTGGCTCGACGGTCAGGACCGGTCAGGACGGCTATTATGATATTTCGTTTACATTAACACTAAAGCCATTTACGCTAATGGCTTGCAGCGGTTAACGTAAACGCCGAATTGCTGTTGTAAATGGAACGGCATGTTCCACGACGCAACACGCATCACTATTGATATTTAATGATTTTAAAATATATTTTAACTATCCTTATTTGATTATTTTATTTCAGCACATAAATACCATAATAGGCATGAATTTCACAGAGATATTGAACAGATTCTGGAAAATTGTACTATATATAATGGAAAAGATTCTGTGTACACGCACAAAGCGGAATTGCTTGTAAAAGTATGCAAAGAAACATTAGACGAGGTAATTACGCAAATACTTATATGATTATTCTATTTAATTAAATTATGTTTTAAACCATGACTAATATCTTACAGTATGATGAACATCTGATGCAATTGGAAAATAACATACTACTAGTACAAAAACGGGCAATGGAACAAGCAGATATAGATCCTTTATGGCTTGGTACGGAGGAAGAGAATTATACCATTGTAGAACCAGAATTTAGAGGGGTATTATTTTTATACTGATTAGAATTTTCTTCTTTTTTTTATTATCACAAGAAATTTCATCAATTTTATGATACTTTGTACAGAGCCAAACGAGTTCACCAGAGAATCCATTTGGAAAGTCGAATATAGATGATTTTGATTTTGTGGATGTAGAAGGAGATTTGGAGGGCGATGGTAGTAGAAGTGCAAATTCGAAGAAAAAAGATGTCCTCGAAGAAGGTACAAGGAAACATTACGAAATTTTTATTGAACTTATATATTTATTTTAACTTTGGTATATGTTTAATATCAATTTATTTAATTTTAGATCTACAATTCTCCAGCGAAGACGAATTCGATGAGGTTCCATTTGGTACTGATGAACAATCCGAAAATGCTGAGATCGATACACTTGAACTGAATGAAGTTCGAGAAAGTGGAGTGGTGTTGGCGGATGACGACAGTCAGCAGGCAGCAGAAGCAATGGTTCAATTGGGTAATGTCGGTTTTTATATGGCGGATCAACAATTGCTTCAGCAAGGTTGGTAGTATACGAAATAGTATATTGGATATGTCGGTTGAATTTACAAGTTGTATTCGTTCCATTATAGATGAAAGTATGGATGTCGATCCAAATTATGATCCTTCAGACTTTTTATTAGCTGGTTTACCAGCAAGGGATGAGAAAGGTCAAAATAAGATACAAGATGATCTGGCTGTATCCGAAAGCGACGATGATATAGAAAATAGTGCACAACAAAAACAAAAAATGCCACAATTATCGCAACCGGAGGAGGATGTCGGTGGCGACTTATGGTTTTAAGAATTTCGTATTTGTTTTAAGCAATAATATTGTTCTATAGTTTATTTCTTAAATCAAAATACTTATGTATAATATTACAATATGTAACGAAAAATGAAATATTTATTTTTCATAGAAATAATTGAATTTCAATATTTGAAGTTAGGTAAATTGTGTATAATTTCAATTTGTAAAAAGTAGGAGATATTATCTAGATTTTTCAATGCATATCTATGAATATTATGTATACATATATGTAAATATATAACGAAAAGTTATTTCTTAAGTTCTACACATACATTTATGTAACTTGTTCTTTTTCTTTATCTAGGATAAAGAAGCATAAAGTTTATGAAAAAATAGTTTTATAATATAATACAGAAAAAATATTGTATTTTTTTATACACTGAAGACATATATAAAAAACTGCATATTCAGTTGTATTTACCGAAAACATGTTTCTAACCAAAATTATGCTTGTAATGTTTTCTACCATTTAGCAATGCTTTCAGATCAAAAACTGAAAACCAAAATAGAATATTTACATACTGTATGTTCCACTATGCTTTCACATTCGCTACGAGATCAGGATAAAATACTAAACAATATAATAACTGTAACAAAATATGCATTACAAGAACAGCTACTAACTTATGAACCAAATGCTATCATTATATGTACGCTTAAACTTCTTTTATATTACAACGAAAATTTATCCCATACTGAACACATATGCGAATGGAAACGTCGAAAAAAACGGCGGCTTGCAAAAGAGTGTTATGATAGTTTATTACAAATATACATTCCTGAAAAATCAAAGGAAATTCTCGAAGCAGTACTCAATATGATTTATAAGGACAAGCTTTGGGAGTTTGAAACCTTTTGTTTCGAAATTATGTGCAGTCTAGTGGAATACGGTGTTAGCGGAGCATTAATGATCCATACGATATGGGACAAAATTGAAGCCCCGAATATGAATATAGAAGACTCAAGAAGAATTATAAGAATATTATACGAATTGTTGGATGTTTATACCTGGCCAGATACTCATGATACCGTAGTAGTAATAAGAAGAGTTCTGAACCTTTTTTACATCAGCGTAACTACTACACAATCTAATATCAATTCTATGCCGTACGCAATGCTCAAGAAGGGTTTGGAAGTTTGCATTATAAATATGGTCAAACATATATGCAACGACCATCTTCTTATCATAGTGCAGTACATGTGTTCGTGGGCTATAGAAAAAGGAATGACGGATGAGGTTATTTTAGAATTTGGTAGTACGCTTGAATATACAGCTTATATGCACGAAGTGACTCTATATGAAAAAACCTTAACGCCAAAGATATTTCCACTATTGATGGAAATGATAGGATCGAAAAGTAAAATAACAAGTTTACTGGGTAATAGAGTTATACAATATTTACTCGACAGACAAGAAAATAAACTGAACTTTGACACGCCTAAAATATTCTTTGAGAATACCCAGTTCGATCTTACGATAGGTGAATGCCTCAACGAGGATAAATTGTTTTGCAAACTTCATCGGGAGATCTTGCACGATAATCTTTTAAAGAGCATTATAAATCATTGCTCGTCGCGTATGAATTTGGAAACAACATATTGTACAATTTGTTTGATCGCGATAGAAGTCCCATGCGGATTTACAGCAGCAGCTCTAGTTTGTCTTATAATGAATCTGCAAGATTTGACTTTAAAACAACAGAGAAATATTCACGGAGTATCTTACCACATGCACGCTACAGTAATAGCGATTATGTCTCTTTTATGTTGGATTCATAAAGCCAGAGTATTTTACGAATACGTAAATAAAATTATGTTGGAAAGGGCGCAATGGGCGCCACACTTGAATCCACCAATACAATCCCAATATAATTTTGCGGCGCATCATATCCTTTGGGATAAACCAGATTTATTTTTCGTAGATTGGGAAGCTCGTTACGGCTTATGGAAATGTTTTCGTTTACGTGAAAATGAGGATGATTCGCAGGATATATAAATATGTATATGTATATTGAATACTACACTATGTAACTTCGTAATCAGTAACAAATAAATTTAATATCATTAAATAACATTAAAATTCCATATAATATTAGATTGCTATTATATTTAATATTAATGGATTTATTTTAATAATCGAATATAAATATAAAGTATGGTTGTAAACAATGATGCCAGATTGAGCACCGGGTGCACTACTCACACTATGCCTGATCACGCGTACGCGAGCTCGTGGAGTTTCGGAGAGTCGACAAAGGCAAACTGACGCATGCCCTCTTTCTCGATTCTCCGAAGCTGCCCGAAGTAATTTCGGACCACCTCGTGGGAGTCGAGAGAGGAAGGCTCATTTGCCCATTTAACCATTACTGCTGGCTACTGCCAACCTCTCGCAGCCTCTGCTGGCCTCTGCTAACCTCTGTCAACATGTGCGGGCTTCTGCCTGCCTCTGCTGGCCCCTGCTGACCACTGCTGACCTTTGTTATCAACTTCTGACATGATATATATGTATTAAAACATTGTATAATGTAAGTCTTTGGCAATAAATGATATAATTTAACAGAATTCTATGTGTTCTCATCATTTTTACCTTTCTTTTCCTCTCCAAATCATTGCCTTAGTTTTAAGAGACCGTTTTTCCGGTTAAAATTGGATTCCCAAACTGTGAACCAGCTGGAAAGTCCTGAAACAACTGGAAAGTCCTGAAACAACTGGGAAGTCCTGAAACAACTGGGAAGTCCTGGAATTTCTTGGAAACGCCGAAAATTTTTGGAAACCCTGAATTTTTAGCAAAGTTCTGAGTTTCAGGACTTCCGAGGTGTTTCAGGACTTCCTAGTGGGTTCAGGGAAACCAAGGAGTTTCAGGGAGTCTTATAACTAAGGTAATGATTTGGAGAGGAAAAGAAAAGTAAAAAATGATGAGAACACATAGAATTCTTTGTAATTATATCATTTATTGCCATAGATTTACATTATACAATGTTTTAATACATATATATCATGTCAGAAGTTGTTAACAAAGGCCAGCAGTGGCCAGCAGCGGTTAGCAGAGGACAGCAGAGGCAGGCAGAAGTCAGTAGTAATCGTTATACGCTGTCAGAAATATAATCGGTGGTCAGCAGAGGCTGTGAGAGGCTGGCAGTAGCCAGCAGTAATGGTTACACGTTGCCAGATGTATCAGAAGTGATATCTGAAATGATATACATATGTACGCTCATACATAGGAATAATAAAAAAGAATTTATTTTTGTTCAATAATTCAAATATGATCGGGGGGTCTTAAAACGTGTATTTCCGTAAGAAAAGTTTCACAAAACTGTTTTTCATTATAGTACTTTACTTATGTGCGCCTACATTGGTCGGAAAGTAAAATATACCTGGGCAGTCGAGACTTGGAATCGTATGCCATTGACGTGAGGTCGAATTTCAGTTGTCCAAGAGCGAGAAGGCAAATGTGAGCCTTCGAGAAAGAGGGCATGCGTCAGTTTGTCTTTGTCGACTCTCCGAAACTCCACGAGCTCACGTAACACCCGGTGTATAGTAGCGCACCCGGTGCTCAATCTGGCATCACTGACCTCTGATTGTAAATGATAATAATTTCATTTATTAGTAGTACTAATTTTTCCTTTATTTCTTCAAGATTTACTTTTAATTTATAAATTAAAAATACGATTTTATGTATTTGCATAATTATAAAAATTAAATTCTGAAATCAGAATAAACAAATACCGACATCGACAAGATGGCTGTATTTCAATATTTACCATATAGTGCATTTCATAATTCTACAGATTAAATAAAGAACAATAATTATCAATAGTATTAAAGTATTCGTTTGAATGGTATCTTTTTACGCACAGTGATATTTTATGTAAGAAAATGTTAGTACAAACAAAATCTGTTCGCAACTGAAAGGCGCGACAATTTATCTCGAATAATTCATATGTTCGTCCATCTTACACCGCTCTAAACACTTTTTGATTCGTGAAATATTTGTTTTGTAAACTATAAATCATAATTTAGAGTTTGACATGAACTGTTTAGAAACGAACGATACGTTCCTTTGTAGTTCCCCAAAACTCAAAGGGAAAGTGGTGACAATGAAATTAAATTGAACTATTTAAACGCAATTCGAATTATAACTAAATAAAATCGTATTGTTTACATAACAATTGAACTACAGTGTCCGCTGGATTGTTTTCGTTAGATCTTAAATTGCATTTTAATAAAGGTTAATTTTTTAAATAAATTAAACGTTTACCATTCCTTCGTTACTAGTATTATCTTTTTATAGCGACGATCAATCATTTTTGAAAATTAAAAAAATTGTATAAATTACTTATTACTGCGCAATTGTTAATAACTAATTTAGTATACATGAAATGCAATAAGTTAACAATTTGTACATAATACACAAGTATTAATTTTTTTTTGTTGGTCGCTTGTTTTTTATTGATTTAAAAATTTCTTTCTACAGATACAATGTCCGGAGAACAGTTTTCACTAGTTTGGAATAGTTTTCCAAGGAACTTATCATCTGGATTATATACATTATTGACCGATGAACAGTTAGTCGACGTAACGTTAGCTGCAGAAGGTCAAATATTACGTGCACATAAATTAATATTGTCAGTTTGTAGTACATACTTTAGAGAACTCTTCAAGGTATATTTAAATTTATTTATTATAAATTTATCAGCGTTGTCGTTATGGCATTAAAATTCTTGCAATAATATAGGGAAATTCTTGTAAACATCCGATTGTGATTTTAAAAGATGTCAACTATCGTGATTTGTCGGCAATGCTTCATTTTATGTATCAAGGAGAAGTTAATATTAAACAGGAAGATATAGCAAGTTTTCTAAAAGTAGCAGAAACTTTGCAAATAAAGGGTTTGACTACAGAAACCGAAGAGGTATGCCAATTAAAATCTGACATTTCGATTGTAGAATGAAACGATCTATTTTTTATATTGCAGAAGCTTGAGGAATCATTGACAAAAAATGTACAATTGGATCAGCTATTTAGTTCAAAAAAGAGTAATATTAATTCTGTCGTATCGGATTTAAATGTTTCTGCTTTTGAAAATCCAGAGCAATTAATAGAAAAGGGTCAACAATCTGAGAAACAAGACGTTTCGTCGAAGGAAGAGCTGCACGATAAGGAATTAATAGAAAACAACACAATCGTCGACAATGTGTGCTGTAATCAAGATTCTACCTCTGATTTGGTTCACAACATACAAGATACGCAAGCGGTACAGGACAATAGTTGTAGAAGTATAGAAACGCAAAGTAACGAAGAGGAACCATTAGACTGTACAGCTGACATTGGTCATTCGGAAACACCTAAACAAGAACCACTGGATTACACGCTCGATGTTGATTTAGAAACAGGATATAAAACATATTTGCCTAACGAATCAGTTTATAAACCCGAAGAAAACCTGCAAAGAAAAGGTATTAATTGCGTATCCTCTATCTGTATAAAAATTAAACAGAATTATGTAATTAGTAGGCTAATAACTACAAAGATGTCATTTGGAGGCAAAAAGTACTATGTTTGTTGAGCGAGTGTATACTTCATAACGAGACGATTAAAATTAGCCAAGTGGTTGTACAGATACTGGCAGCTTTATTGGCATGTAAAAGATTTGACACACTCAACTACTATCATCGATGGATGTACACGATATTAAAACCAGATTGTAACACGTTTGGTCGTAAAAAGTCTTTTCAGCATATATGCATATTATATGTATAGAGAACAAATTAATTGTTCGATGAATTCAATTACAAGTTTGCATGCTTACATTATTGGGTGTTTCAAATCTAAATTTCATAATCGTACGCAATTGCACAGTTATATTTCATAGTTATACAATAGTAAATGTTTAATAAAATAAACAGTATTGCATTTTACAGATTTTATACGAGATATGCAATTAATTCCCTACAATCAGAATATACAAACTCAATCATTTGGTACGTATTTCAATCTTTCCTTTTTCATTTGAATTTGTCTTCCGCGTTTGCTAGTTTCATTTTTGTTTTTAAGTGTTTAGGGACGAGTTTCTTTTTTTTTCTTCTGGTCTATTTATTATCGACAGTAACTATAATTATAAAAAGAAACTAAACGTCCACATATGTGGCCAAGAGCGTGAAAAGGTTAAAATAATTCTATAAAAAAAATGTATGTAAATTTATGAAAAGAATAAATATGATAACAGTCCATATTTATCAGTTTTGTAATCAGACTAATTTATTATTTATTTTTACTGTTAATCATGTTGCATGTATATACGATATACGAAAAAAGCATTAGTTTTCGTATTCGTTGGTATTTATTTATTTATTTCTGTTTATTAGGTTTGAGCAATTTGACTGGTCTTCAGAGTGAATTTACATACGAGACTGGTTGTCATGGTAAAGGTCGACGTACTATTAAAGGTATCTCTAATAATACTCTACCGTTGGAAACAACTTTGCGAGTTGTGTCAGAGTTGGGACCGACATTGCGAATGGAGAGGGGCAAAGTTATTCGAATGTATTCGTGTCCATGGTGTCTTCGTCATTTCACGCGTAAGGAGAATCTCAAACTTCATGTTCGTTATATTCACGGCCCGCTTGAAAGTCTGACGTGTAAGCTTTGTGGTAATAAATATAAAAATAGTAACAGTTTACGTGTACATTCGTATCTCTATCATAACGCTAAACGGGATAAACACAGCAAGCCGCTTGTAGATGGCGACGTATGAAATTAAGAAAACGAAAGGAAAGAAAATTTACACCAACGTTCACGACACATATGTTTTTGTTGCTTTATATCGGAAATGTAGTGATACGTACAGCGTATGTATAGTATATGCTATACGTATTGGCACAATTTTATTTATAGACAACGAAGGTTCTAACTCTCGCGCGTTATTAGCAAACGGAATTCATGAAATTATTTAACGGTCGTGATCTACCTAATCCCTCCGCCTGATTCGATTGTTAGGTAATTTGAGAGCTCTATAATTTAGAGGAACGCATTATTCTCTTAATTAACTAGGGAGTTTACTTTGCAAGCGTTAGGAACTACGAACAATAACATATTTTATATAAAACAGGTTACTTTTTAAAAGAAATCGATTGTACATATACATATGTATATTGATATACCATTTTGTAAATATACAATTTTTAATAAAATAAACTGACTGAGATCGTCCGGTATTTGTGTTTCTTTCCTTTAAATTATTCGAGCATCGTGTGCAAATACTGTGTTCAAGTGCCACCGACGAAGACTAGCATTTGTCATAAATACATACTTAAATGTACTTGATATTGCGCGATGTAACAATGTCGTACACTCGTTTACGAGATGCGTCCAGAGATTTATCGTACACGAGAATTTAATAGAGAATTATAAAATGGTAAACTTCTCGTACCACTTTTGGATATGTTTTATTTATTCATTCCTGGACTTCTGCTTTTGGCGCGTTACACTTATTCTCATGTATTCAAAATTATAAAACCTCTCAATTAAGATCTGACCACGAATCTGGTCACTTTTGTTTCAGGCACCGGATGCTTCCTCGTCACGACGAACAATTGTAGAAACGATTCCATCGAAACTGGTACAATTCACTCGCGAGGTGTTGCCACATGTTACATCCTTTTATAGAATACTCCATTTTGCTGCTTTTAACTACTCAGTAGAATACATATTGAAATATTAAAATCACAACGATCCCGTACCGCAACGTAACGCTCAAACAAACACTGTTACATTGATACGCGTACAGAGGCTGTGTTATTATCAGTTCGTTCGTTTTTTCTATCTACGAACTGTTACGAGGGGTGAAGGAAACTGGCTACAAAGATGAGATCACGAGAACTTTCCTGGGGCGTCGACATGAATCTTCTCATATTGAAACAGTAGGTCTGTTGAAATATATCTGCGTTTTATTCGTTCGTTCTTTTTGGTATTGCAATATACAGGGTGCTCGGCCAACCCTGGGAAAAATTTTAATGGGAGATTCTAGTGGCCAAAATAAGACGAAAATCAAGAATACTAATTTGTCGATGGAGCCTTTGTTAAAAAATTATTAACGTTCATAGTTCCGTCAGTGCTGAATTTTTTTCTCGAAAATGCGCAAAATTTCAAACATTCTCGAATTTTTTTCTAGAAAATGCGTAGGATTTTGGAAGTATGTGTAATGACCATAAATGATTGTAACTGACCCTCACAACCGAAAATAATTTTTCCAGAACGATTTGAAATTTTTTTTTCGTCAAAAAATTAGGGCACCTAACTAGATTTTTAGTAAGGAATTTTTTTCTCGAAAATGTGTAGGATTTTGGAAGTATGTGTAATTACCATAAATGATTGTAACTGACTCTCCCAACCGAAAATAATTTTTTCAGAACGATTTGAAATTTTTTAATTTAATTGTTAATCACTTTTAAACGAAGCCTCAGTCAAGAAATTGATATTCTTGATTTCCGCCTTATTTCGGTCTCCAGAATCCCCCATTAAAATTTTTCCCAGGGTTGACCGAACACCCTGTACAAGTATTGGAAATTCTTTTCTCATGGATTTATCATTCGTGTAGTTTTACGCGATATTGCAATGGGAAATAACAATAGTCCCGACTCTCGCAATAATCTAGATAAGAATAAAGCGAACTAATAACATTGGCCAGCAGCGTAGCGAGCGATAAAGCTTTTTAGCCGAGTTAACGAATTTCCCTCCTGCGATTTCCCTTTCGCGATTCGGTCAACCTAGACCAAAGGCCGCGTGAAATCCGGCGATTATCTCCGGCGGCTGCCTATAATTAAACCGCGATTGGCTTCAGTAAACCTCGTCGCCGATAAATTGCCCCGACGTCGATTCTTCGGCGAATCTGACGGATCCCTGGGAATTCGCCAAGATGGACGAGGGGGGGGGGAGAGGTAGGCAACGAGAGGAAGGCAGTGCCTCCGATGTGACTTTGTATCGTCGAACTAACGTCTGGCTGGTCTTTTGCAAGGGGTCAAAGTGTCAGGTCTTGGAACGTAATCGTCCACACGCCGAGTCAGTAGTACCGCGGATTCTCGAACCACGCGACGGCGATTTCTATAATTGCCAGTTGGTCGATCGACGTACGTTTGGTGGAAAACGCTTCCGGTTTTCATACCACGAACGAGGGATACTCGCAGAGGGCCGCGGGAGCCGACGTTTGAAGACCATGACCGCGATCGCGTCCAATCTCATGGGCATCCTCGGATTCTCGCTTCTGTTACACCTCAGCGTTAGCCTGGCGCTGTTGGTCTTCGTGGTGCCGGTCTTCCTTCTCGTTTATCCGGGTAAATATCCTCGAGGGATGCCCCTCGGGCAGCCGGAGGTTCGACGACGCTGGTAGCCAATCGAAGCGCTCGCGTGTTTCAAACTGTATTGCGCGTTACGAAACCTGAAATTTCGCGATAACTGGAACGAAACAGAATTTCGCCGACGGTCCACGGTTATGCAAATGATCGTTTCGATCGTGGAATTGTAGTTTTGCTTCTGATATTGGCACAGGAGCGACGTTTAGTTTTTTCCCCCCAATTCCGAAAATGAACGAAAAAGAGGCAATGAAAATTTAAGCAAATGCAAGTGGTTTTTTTTTGTAACAAGCACGAAAAGGATTTTTATTTTAATATAGAAATGCGCAGTATATTTTGGGACACTGATAGATCATTTCAATGTTGCATATTATTGGGTTGCACTTCGTTCCATTTTCTGAGCTTGGTGACCAAGACTGGATAACACTTTTATACGAACAATACATGGTATTATTTTTTCGACATGGAATATAATTCAAATTATAATATTTATCGAATAAGTAACGGATCGCGTGTCGGTTGTCTTCTCTTCGTAATAAAATTAATTTATATTAATCGTTATACAGGGTGTTCGGCCACCCTTGGGAAAAATTTTAATGGGGCATTCCAGAGGCCAAAATAAGACGAAAATCAAAAATACCAATTTCTTGACTGAGGCTTCGTTAAAAAGTTATTAACAATTAAATACAAATATTTCAAATCGTTCTGGAAAAATTATTTTCGATTCCAGGGGTCAATTACAATCATTTTTGGTGAATAGACATACCCCCGAATTCCGGCGCATTTTCGAGAAAAAAAATCGTGTATGTGCAGCAATTTTTCGACAAAAAAAATTTTTCAAATCGTTCTGAAAAAATTATTTTCGGTTGCGGCGGTCTTTTACAATCATTTTTAGTCATTACACATATCCCCGAAATCCTAGCCACTTTCGAGAAAAAAATTCCTTACCGAAAATCTAGGTGCCTAAATTCGACAAAAAAAAAATTTCAAATCATACTAAAAAAAATATATTTAGTTACGGGGGTTAATTACAATTATTCTTGGTGAAAGACATACCCCCAAAATCCTGCGCATTTTCGAGAAAAAAATTCTGTTCTGGTAGAACTTTGAACGTTAATAACTTTTTAACAAAGCCTCCATCAACAAATTGGTATTCTTGATTTTCGTCTTATTTTGGCCTCTAGAATCCCCCATTAAAATTTTTCCCAGGTTTGGCCGAACATCCTGTGTGTGTTTGCGTCTGGGACAGATACCGCTTAACGAAACGCTTCGGTATAATTGTAAACATAAATAATGAGATAGCGGGGGAAGACTTTGTGTCTCCGTTAAAATTCGTAATGAAGCGATAAGTATTTCGCGTGTATGCGTGCAATGTACACTGAGTTAAAAAAGTTTCCATACACCCGCCGACTGGAATCTCTTAATTTTATTACTGTTACAATATGCTTATAAATATCTTTTTTTGCAATAAGTTACGATCTATAGGGTTGTTAGAACAATTAACGCCCAAACTATTGATATATTATTTTTAATTTTTAATATCGAAAATAAAAGATTAAATCGTACAGAATTGAGGAAGACGAAAAAGTTTCCATACATTATAATTATTACTCATCAATTTTATGTATATTCAGTTACCATAAAAGGCGAGAATAAGAATGTGAAAAAATAGTGATATGGAACCATCTTAATTAACTAAAAATATTTTTAAAAAACGGATGATGTAATCTGAGAAATATCCATAAAAATGTTTACGAATATATTTTAACATAATATTGCGCACGTTATGTCATAAAATCAAGTTTAAAGTCAATAGATTTTCCCGCTCTTTTGCGGCCGCGAACGTAATTGTCTTAAATGGGTTCTCTGTTAATGTTATGGCATTTTAAGAAGACTATTATTATACTATTCGTTGTTTTAACGTATTCAAGTGTCGACGTGGTCGAGAAAGGGTTGGATACGTTTCGTGAAATGGAAATATCCGAACGTCGTCGTCGTGGAGGAGAACAACATACGAACGATTTTGGATCAATTTCGGAATCACGTAGGTGCAAATGATAAATGGCTTGTATTAACGAACTTAGTGTCGTGATACTTTGTAACTCGTGAACTTGTCACAAATTTAGGGCATTTATACTTTGATGATTCAAGGCCGTTCGATCGCGGAAGGTATTCGAAGCCATTTAATGCATTTGACTTCGACCAGGAGATTCCTGCGGGCAGGCTTGTCCACAAGATGGGGTCTCTACGTGTGGAGGGATCTCGATTATTTCTCGGTGGAGAACCACCTGTTAAATTCACCGTGCTCTTTCAGAGGTCGACCTATCACAGAGTTAAACATACAGGTCAGTTATCGATAACTTTCGATCCCATTTCGCACATGCTAAATAGAGGATAACATAAAATTTAATGGGGAAAATAAGGCACAAAAAGATTCCTCTGCTCGAAATAAGACGAGAATCAAGAATGACAAGTTTCTATTGGTAGTTTCGTTTTCGAGATAAATATGAACATTTTTAACAGTTGTAACTCGCATTATATAGGAATATTATTATAAGGAATAATAAATGTAACCTCAACGAACGTAATAAATTGAATGTGTGATGCCTGAATGGCGACTGATAGATCACGCACGTCAAAGTGTTAACGTTTATAACTGTGAAAAAGTCGATCAAAAAATGAGCACTCTAGGAGTTCGTCTTATTAGGCTGGAAACAGACGAGCGACTTTTGTCGTCGTGATATCACAGCGATTCTATGTTCTTCCTTGTGTTGCAATTGAAAACACATTGAGTGGCTGTGATGTCGCTCGTCTGTTTCCAGCCTTAGTAGTATTTACAAAAGAATATTTCCCCCTCCACTACAATTTATATACAAAGCTACGGTTAATCGTTCGTCGAATAATCTGAATTAATTTTGCTTGAAATCGAACGATAGCCAGAAAAGTAAGTACGTGGTTGTTAGCAACAGATTCCTGCGTTTCAGGACTACGTCAGCGACATCACGTCGAAATTCTTTCCACCGGGGCAACCACCGTGGCAGGTGCACGTGATAAATTGTTTTCTACGCGGAGAAGAGAGCCAAGTCTGTTTGGTAAGGGTGCATCATCTACTTTTACGACAAGAGCATTTAGGGCTGGCCGACTTCCTTCCGTTGAAGTACGCCACCGAAGGTTGGACGTGCCAAGAACCAGAGTCGCCATTCACTAACCTCTACGCCGAGCCGTCTGCCCTTCCGAAGCTCTATCAGAAGCTCACGGAGAACTTCAGCAATTACTGGAACGAGTTTCTCTACAACAACGATCCAACCGAACGACCAGAGATCCTGAAAAAACAGATCGATATATTTCAGTGCGTAAAAATCGGTGTGATCGTTCTGGTCTCCTCGGTGAAGGAACTGACAAGGTATGAAACAATGTTTTTGAATATATTCGATCGATATTCCATTAGTGTATCTGTGGCGCTGCTGCTGAGGTTAGGGACTCGTGAGAATTTCGTAAAAGGCAGAAAAGGAAAGGAGGGGGCGCGCGTTTCGTTCGGGCCTGCTAGTGGACTCATCAGCAGTGATGGACATTCGTGGGAATTTTGGTCATGCGCACTGGAGCGCATGATCACTGCCGTATACACTTAACTAGAATTTAGGGCACCGTTGGATCCCAGCAAGGAACAAAATTTAAGGAAGTTACAGGGAAAGAGACAAAAACAAAAAATATCTTCTTAATCTGCGTGAGTATAGCTAGAGAAATACGTAGGGGATCTTCGATAAGTTAATTTTTGTGTGATTGGCGAGCATTTGAAGTAGAAAGTTCAATTTTGTACAAAACATATCATGATACCATGTGTCCACGAGAAGAAGGCACAGCGTGTTTACATCCCCACTCTTGCTGCAGTCCGCTGATTGGCTGTCACCGATCATCGTCACCGTTTTCGACCAATGCCTGTGAGTCAGCGGACTGCAACTGTACATCCATGGCAGAAAGCTAACGCATGCGCAAAAAGGAGTCCCACGAGGGAAAATTCTAGTGCGCATGTCTAAAATTTCCACGAATGTTTCACAATCATGTGGTCACTCAATTCGTTAAGCTTTATATGTATATTAAAATCAACACATTTTTACATTCACGAGGTATTCGTAGTACAAATCCACTCCTTTTGGGGCCATTCCTTGTACAAACAAATTTAAATAAATTTAAGTAGTATACGTTTGAAAAATTATTTGTAATTAAATCGTACGTCAAGGGGTCAATTAAATTAGTCGCTATTCGCTTGGAGATCAATTTATGATTTAAGGTGAAATTGTTGTAATTGAATATCTCGGAGTTTCTTTATCTTCAGACTAATGTTTCTTCTTTACTACATTTTACCGAAGACGACTCGATCTATATAGGATCGAAACGTTTAAAATATACTTATACAGGGTGTTCGGCCACCCCTGGGAAAAATTTTAATGGGAGATTCTAGAGGCCGAAATAAAACGAAAATCAAGAATAGCAATTTGTTGATCGAGGCTTCGTTAAAAAGTTATTAACGTTTGAATTTCCGCCTGTAGATAGGCAACCTGCATACAGCTGCGCACGCGCGATAGTGGTTCTCACTCAGCATGAGAAACTCTACTTAGTGACGTATCGATAGCCTTTTTTTTTCGATGTCTCGCGAGAATCGTCAATCGTTTAATCCCCCTAACGAGATGTACAGGTTTACGTGCACTTTTCAGGAATCACCGAGAGGACGTTAGTCGTTTGCGGCTGATAGTACAAAATGCCGAAGAAAAATCACTTTTTACATATTTTATTCTATTTGAAATGTTTCTTTTTAACGAATTTAAGTTTTTAACTCCTTTAAGATTTAATGTACCAAGTGTGTCGAAACGGGTGCTGTTTGAAATAGCGAAATTGAAACCGAGACTATTGATTTATTTCATACAGGCACAAGGATGATCTTTTGTCCATTGATTATAGTATTACACGAGCATTAATATTATTTCTTAATATAAAATATTCAATTTCTAAAAATAATAGATGTTACATAACAATTCACAATTTATTTTAGTGAAACGATTCGTTGAAAATGTTAATCCAGTTAGCTGAAAGTAGACAGAAAATGCTACGAAAGAAATGATCAGAATACCAAAAATAACCAAAATTATTTTTTCACAAGACTACATATTCGTATACATATAGTCATAATCCGAAACGTTCGATTCAACATTTACAGTTAAATCATTTTTTACGCTAAAAATAAAGAAATAAATATTACCGTGATTTTCGTAATCCTAGCATTACAATTCTGTAATTCCCAAACAAGTAATTTCAGGACCAAGAAGGTTAAACGTTATTTAAAATGGCGCTCGTCTCGCGATACTTTGTACAGAGTAACTAAAATTTTACACAAACATCAAAACACTGAAGCCTTTCCGTCACAAAATCGCTCACGATATCTATGCACTGGTTCGTTAATTCTAGACAGTACCGAAAAGGTGAGCGATCTAGGATCTACAATATCTTCCCGATCCTCCAACGAGAAGCCTTCAAAAGAAACTTTGGGCTCGTCGTCTGTTTTCGCGGTCTTTTGATGTCCATGAACCCTATGGACGTGTTCTACGGCGGCGTTCTCTGGTTATGGTACCTGACAGTGACGTTGACCTTGAAAACGCCGATACTGATGCTACGGGAAATGCGGGCCCTGAGGTCGCGTCACAAGCACTATTATCCGGATACGTTCACGTCCATGCTGTGGTATTATCTTCCGCTGGTGCTGCAGGCCAGCCTGGAAGCGTTCACCATCACCTGGACGGGGATAAAAGCGCCTAAAGTAATCCTGGAGGAGCTGTTCCTGAAGCATCCGCAGTCGAATCGTTTGCAGACCACGTCGCCATGCGGACGAAAGGTGGTCGCGTGGTCGGAGGAGGTCGAGCTCGAGGTACTTCGGAAGATATCGAACATGACCGGGGCGACCGAGGCGGAGATTTTGTTGACGGCCACGGTGGACGCTCTCAAGGAGTACTTCCGGCATTCCGGTGTCCGGATACCAGACAGCGTGCTCGCCACTGGCAAGTTCACCAAACAAAGAGCGATATTTGTACCGAACCACGAAGCTAGAGGTATCATCTGCCTGGCGCTACCCACAAGGACGCCATTGTTCGAAGACGATCTGGTCGAAATGTTGCAGGTTCGTCTAATTAAGATCGACGCTGATCGTTGCTAAACACAGACGCGGCTCGATTCGATCGCTGGTGATCGGGGTGGTCCTTGTCCGTCGACTTTCGATTACTTTCTGACGCGCCCTTTCTCCTCTAGATCGTGACACCTCTTTTTTCCAGACCTAACCCAGACCTTTTAAGGCGGAGGGGAAATCTTGCATAAGACACCCCGGGCCTGACCCGGGGTAGTGTCGGATTCTTACCGACTAAAACCCCTCCGCCGCACTGTCCCCGGGGCGGCATTGTTTACCACATTACTTCGCTCCCGGGGCAGTGGCCGCCCGGTGTTGCGCGGCGGCAGCGAAAACCCCCCTCCCCGGAGAGGCCACCCAGCTGGTGACCTCTACGGGGTTTCCTCCTATGGCGGCTGAGCCGCCAAAAAACCCCATCTGTCCCGAGGGACATCGTCATCAGAAGGGGAGGGCACCATCCCCCCCCCCGTACCACCACCATCCCAAAAGTTGCGGGTGCATGCGTTCCCGCAACTACGTATACCCCTGAAGGGCCCGCTGTAGACCTAACCCAGACCTTGTTAACGCGGAGGAAATCTTCAAAAAGACACCCTGACTTTGGGATGCCAGGATAGTGTGGGATTCTTACCCACTAAAACCTCCGCGGTGGCCTTCCTTGGACGTATAGAGGAGAGCTCTGGGAACTGTCGATCCATCCAGTGCCCCCTCACGCCAATGCTCTTGCCCATCTCGGGATCTACCCATTCTTCTCTCTAACAGGTGTCGCACAGACCACTCGTGCTTCGCCCCCTTCCCTGATCGCTTATGTGCAACAGCTACCCAAGTCCCCATAACTTGGGCAGCCCGCGATCCGCGATGATCGCCATCATCGATGAGGCCCAATGCCGCGTCATCGAAGATGGGGATGAAGGCGCTCTCGCTCACCCAACGCAAGTGAGCAGGATGCTCAGGGGTCGGGAGGCGCCACCGGCCTGTTCCTCCCTCTCCATCTGCCACTTCCAACTCTTCCTCTGCGATGAGGATCTCCTCTACTCTCTCTTTCTCTTTCCGCGGCCTCCTTCTGTTGCATCACTGCTTCACAGAAAACAGACACCGCCTCCCACGCGCCTTGGCTCTCCAACATGCGTCCAATCAGGTGCTCTAACGTCAGGTTGTCACCAACCACCCTAGTCAGGACTCGACGCTCTCCAGCCCACGCCGGACAGGCTACTAGAGTATGTTGCGCCGAGTCCTGTAGGACCTCGCAATGATGGCACCTTGTAGTTGCCTCTTTCCCAATACGCCACAGGTATTCCCCGAAACATCCGTGTCCCGTGAATACCTGGGTCTTGCGGTACGTAAGCCGCCCACCAGCTCTGTCCAGCCACGCCTTAAAATGCGGAAGGACTGCACCGACAGCTCTCTGCTCGACCCCGGCAGCAATCAGCCGACGAAACCAGCTCTCTCTGAGACACTGCCGGGCCCGGACAGACCTAACCCAGACCTAACCCAAACCTAACCCAGACCTAACCCAAACCTAACCCAGACCTAACCCACCTCTTTGGGGAGAGGCAGGAGGGGTGTGTGGGATTCCCCGCGCCCATGGAATAACGGGAGGAACGGAATTTGGGAGGATACCGGGAATCGCTCGAAGCATACTTCCGGTATCCTCCCCGAGATCGTGACGCCTGGTGAACAAAAAGTTCCGTGGAAAATTTCGGCGAGATCAGGCAACAGGAACACGTGACGCGTTTAAATTAGAGTTTCTCTTATTAGCGAATCGAACAAAGGACCCCGCACAGATCTTATGGAAAATGGCCCCCGGTTAAATTAGCTTATTAAGTTCGTTATGTCTTGATGAAAAGTTCCAATGGGCCCAAGCTCGTAAATTGAACAGTGTCCGAGATACGGGGGATCAAAGGTCAATAATAGCGTGCCTTATTCTAGACTACCACGTTCGAGCATATTTGAGTGTAAGAAGCACTGTTGTACACTGTACATTTATTTGGCTCCTTAAAACTCAATAGCAGTACTGTGGGCCCTTAAATATTACCCCTAGACCCTCCTGACCCTCTGACTCAAAATAGAAAAAATAAAAAACGCCAAAAGGGTAAAAAATGGTTCTCTTTTTCAATGTACAAACATGAAGCACCGTCGACATTAGCATTACCCAGTGTGCACAAAAGTTCAGCTAATTTAACCGGGGGCCATTTTCCATAAGATCTGTGGAAATCATCCTTTGCATCATTATCGTTTCATAACGAGATTAGCGTATTTGCACGTTTGCTCGGCAATGTATATATTTCCAGGTAATTCAGACGAATATACGAGAGGCGAGATCGAAGCAACGCGCGATATACGCCATCACAGCAACGGAAGCGTCCTCCGGATTAATTTCTTCTTGCTTACCCTCCCTTCTGCTCAAAGTGGCGCTAAAACAGCTTACTAGAAGGTACTCTTTGTCCTTGACTCACGTAGACGGAGATCTAATCGTCGAAGGTGTCGACGCGGTGATGTATTGGAGACCACCACAAGGGAACTGTAGTAAATATTAACGTATAAGTATTAATTAGAGATTAAACGATCAACGTCAGATAGTTTTAGAAAGTGGATCGGTCCTTCTTGTGGTCGCAGCGACAAGCTGAGCGATCTAAGGGGGCATTTTTAAAACAAAGAATTATTGCACAGGTTGGTTCGTGCAACTTGCGCGGCTCTAAAATTTTTTAATAGAAAAGTTACACGACTCGAGGGGTATGTTACGTGGTGCATTAATTTTTTCAATAGGCGTAGGTATTTTTGAGATCTGAAGGACGACTTTGTTTTTTTTAAATAGAATACTATAACTGTTTTTTTATCAAAATATAGAAGAGTATCGAATTCTGAGTAAAAAAGTATTGATCTTTGTTAGTCCTAAACCTAACAGTTAATGAATAATTTCAACAGCTCTGAATACGAATAAGTATTATTTTAGCCTCCCTACCTTGAGAGTCTGAATAGGCCGAAAGATAATCTTTGATATAAACAAAAATGGGTAACAAACGTTTCTTCCTGTTAATGCAATGCTCAACGAAGCTTAAGAACCGTAGGGATGTGTTTTCAGTGTTCTTGAATCTGAATTAACGGTCGTGCTTTGTCGTTTTCCAGACATGTCGATCACTCTGCACAGGTACGGGACCGGCGTACGTTTGGGAGTTATGGGCGACGCGTTGATCGGTCCCGAGCATTCTGTGATTACGAGGACCTTTCCCAAAAGCGTGGAGAATCTTGCCAAAGTGGTTGGCGTGCCCAGAACGTCGAGTCGAAATTCGACTCCGAGTCCGATCAGCCCGAGCACGTCGCCGGGATACTAAAAGCGTACGGCACACTGCGTGAAATTTCAGTTTCGATAAAAAATTTTAGCCCGAGTCGTGGTTAAATGCGGCGTCGTACGACATTCGCGGTGCCCGGTAAATGCTCAAGATACGGATGAAAAGGTTGCACGTAGATCCACGACTGTACGAGAGCAGCGATCGTGCTAAATAATTAAGAAAATTTTGAATTATTTGTGCTAAATAATTCAAAAAATGAAGTACGAGGTGTGGCTATTGAACGACCGGGACCGACGCTGTAAAACATTTTATTTCGACTTTCATGCTGTTGGAATTCGGGTGGTCGAATAATGCTCGAAAAAAAAATTTTTCAAAACGTTCTAAAAAAATTATTTTCGGTTGCAAGGGTCAATTACAATCATTTCTGGTCACTACATATACCCCCGAAATCCTACGTATTCTCGAGAAAAAAATTCCTTACCGAAAATCTAATTAGGAGGCCCAAATTTTTCAACGAAAAAAAAAAATTTCAAATCGTTCTAAAAAAATTATTTTCGGTTGCGGGGATCAATTACAATCATTTTTGGTGAATAGACATAACCCCGAAATCCTACCCACTTTCTAGAAAAAAATTCGAGGTGTGAAATTTTTCAACCGGAAAAAGAAAATTGCAAATCGTCCTGGAAAAATTATTTTCGTTTGCGGGGATTAATTAGAATCAATTTTCATTAATACACATACCTCCGAAATCTTATCCACTTTCGAGAGAAAAATTCGAGAAGGTGTGCAATTTTTCGAACGAAAAAAAAAATTTCAAATCATACTAAAAAAATTATATTTAGTTACGGGGGTTAATTACAATTATTCTTGGTGAATAGACATACCACCGAAATCCTGCGCATTTTCGAGAAAAAAAATCGGGTACGTGCAGCAATATTTCGACAAAAAAAAAATTTTCTAATCGTTTTGAAAAAATTATTTTCGGTTACGCGACTCAATTACAATCATTTTTGGTGAACAGACATACCTACGAAATCTTAGCCACTTTCGAGAAAAAAAATCGGGTACGTGCAGCAATATTTCGGCGAAAAAAAATTTTTCAAATCGTTCTGAAAAAATTATTTTCGGTTGCGGAGGTCAATTACAATCATTTTTGGTGAATAGACATACCCCCGAATTCCGGCGCATTTTCGAGAAAAAAAATCGGGTACGTGCAGCAATTTTTCGACAAAAAAAATTTTTCAAATCGTTCTGAAAAAATTATTTTCATTTGCGGGGGTCTTTTACAATCATTTTTAGTCATTACACATATCCCCGAAATCCTAGCCACTTTCGAGAAAAAAATTCCTTACCGAAAATCTAGGTGCCTAAATTCGACGAAAAAAAAAATTTCAAATCATACTAAAAAAAATATATTTAGTTACGGGGGTTAATTACAATTATTCTTGGTGAATAGACATACCCCCGAAATCCTGCGCATTTTCGAGAAAAAAATTCTGTTCTGGTAGAACTTTGAACGTTAATAACTTTTTAACAAAGCCTCCATCAACAAATTGCTATTCTTGATTTTCGTCTTATTTTGGCCTCTAGAATCCCCCATTAAAATTTTTCCCTGGGTTGGCCGAACATCCTGTATATTGAAGGTGATAATAACAGAAATATGTATGAAATCGAAATAAAACGTTTTACAGCGTCAGTCCAGTTATTCAATAGCCACATCTCGTACTTCAACATCGAAGCAATGTTGCTTGTTTCGTGGACGTTTTGCTTCTGGAAAATTTTACGGCTCGTGTGCGTCAGGTTAAAGAAAATTACGTCGGTAATTGCGTTAACGATGGTTCGATACGCGTTATCTTATTATGATTTGCTTTTTATTTATTCTATTTTACACGTTTCTGACGTTCGTATTGGAAACTGATTAATTTCGCTTATCTCGCGTACCTGACGTTATCCGTGACAATGTGTATTATTTTTCAGGCCTCGTGTCTGGTTTCTCGCGAGGAAAGCCTCATTGTTTTCTAAGAAATTTAAGGGAACGACCGATCCGAGAAGAGGATGCATCAGACGTTGTAGCACCTTTAAACTATGTTCATATTTATATTAATTATTTCCACGATTATATACACGTTATACGTTTAGCGGAAGTACATACCTGCATTTCGTTTTCTAGGAAGAGGGGGGAAGAGAAACTTATAGGGCTTTTGTTATTTTTGTCTCCGTCCTTGTTGCGCGTTGTGCTTTAAAACATATTGGAATACATATCGTGATATATTGTATGTATATATTTATATAAATATACACGTTCGTATCTATTTATACATACACTTTAACAATCTATTTTTTGTTTGTAACAATACAGTTCAATACAAAGATTAGGAAATTAACACAGTGTTTTCTTATTTTTTTTATTGTTCGTTATATTGATTAATGTATTAGACGTTGCAAATCACAAGTATCGCAAATACGTGAGTATAATTGATTATCGTTTCATTTCTTCTAATTTCATCGAGTATACTCGTCGATATTCCAAGCTTCTTAACTCTTTGCGGCCCTCTAACTCGCACGGAAGGGAACGACACGTCGATTTCTATTTTCAATTATACATTTTAACAAAATTGTTCATTGTAAAACGTCGACATATAATAATTTTCTGTTCCTTCTGTTCCAAGTTTCCCTTTAGAAAATGATCAAACTCGACGACGCTAAAACTCCAAAGTGTAAAGCTATTTTTCTATAAAAATGGCTGGCTAACTAAATACATAATGTTCGAATCTTGATCATCGCCAATAAAAATTTTATACGAATTGATAATCAATAAAACTAACGAATAACAATTTACTCGTAATATTTTTTCGATCGAATTCAGTTTTATAATTGAAATTTTTAGTTTTATTCGATGAGTTTCATTCGTGAATAATGTATACAAAATTTTAGTCAGTTTAAAATATCTGATATCAAATTTTTATTCGTTATAAAATCAAATTTGTTTACTTTCGGGAACGGATAAACGTTTTATTCGTTATTAAAAACTTGTATCTAATGAAACGTTGGCAGAAATTTTATAATTTTACGAATATGGAATATAGAGGTGATCAAAAGGTTTATTAAGCAACTTTTTAAAATTATTTTTTTTTCGAACATGAGTTTGAACAAATAAGTTTAAGGACTATAGTTGTTTCTCAGAGTTTGTTAAATCTTGTCATTTCTACTAACAATGTTTAAAAATTCAACATCGAGTGGCAGTAGTAATTAATTAATAAGAAATAACAGGGACACGAAATTGTACCTCGTAAACTGAGGCGCTTTTCTTGATAAGTAACTTTAATTTATTTCATCACAAAAAATCATCTCTTATGTAATTTTATCATATTTACTGACTCACTTTATGTGCATAATGCGCCACATAATTCGTTCCAAAATAAATTCGACAATTGGTCGCGTCTGTTCGTGTTACGATCGCAAAGAGTTAATACAGCACCTTACGTGAACAATTTGAGAATTCCTTTCACGGAATATCGATTGAATATCAACCTGAACGATTCAACGCTAAGGAAGTTAATGTGACAATTTGATTGCCATCGTTGACTAGTTTATACTTGGAAGCATGTTATTATGTATCCTTCATATAACAAAGAAACTAATTTCACATACATATAAACATTGTTCATGTAACACAGTCGCTTATACACGTACTTTCTTTTTAATAAAATATTGTATACAGGGTGGTTCGGCCACCTCTAGCAAAAATTTTAATGAGCGATAGTAGAGGCCAAAATAAGACGAAAATCAAGAATACTAATTTGTTGATGAAAGCTTCGTTAAAAAGTTATTAACAATTAAATTCAAAAATTTCAAATCGTTCTGGAAAAATTATTTTCGGTTGCGGGGGTCAACTACAATCATTTTTGGTGAGTACACATACCTCCGAAATCCTATCTACTTTCGAGAAAAAAAATCGAGTAGGTGCTGAAATTGTTCGGCGAAAAAAAATTTTTCAAATCGTTTTAAAAAAATTATTTTCGGTTGCGGGGATCAATTACAATCATTTTTTATCATTACACATACCTCCGAAATCGTACGCACTTTCGAGAAAAAAATTCCTTACTGAAAATCCAATTAGGTGCCTAAATTTTTCAACGGAGAAAAAAAATTGCAAATCGTTGTGGAAAAATTATTTTCGGTTGCGGGGGTCAATTACAATCGGTTTTTGTCATTAGACATACCCACAAAATCCTGCCCACTTTCGAGAAAAAAAATAGAGAAGGTGTGAAATTATTCGAGAAAATTAAAAAATTGCAAATCGTTGTGGAAAAATTATTTTCGGTTGTAGGGTTCAATTACAGTCATTTTTGGTGAATAGACATACACCCGAAATCTTGCGCATTTTCGAGAAAAAAATTCAGTAAGAGCGACACTTTAAACGTTAATAACTTTTTAACGAAGCTTCCACCAACAAATTAGTATTCTTGATTTTCGTCTTATTTTGGACTCTACTATCGCTCATTAAAATTTTTGCTAGAGGTGGCCGAACACCCTGTATATGAGAGTACATTTCTTTAGTAGCATTCAATGAAGTGTACAGGGTGTTCGGCCAACCCTGGGAAACATTTTAATGGGGTATTCTAGAGGCCAAAATACGACGAAAATCAAGAATACCAATTTGTTGATGGCGGCTTCGTTAAAAAGTTATTAACGTTCAAAGTTCTACCAGAACAGAATTTTTTTCTCGAAAATGCGCAGGATTTCGGGGGTATGTCTATTCACCACGAATAATTGTAATTAACCCCCGTAACTAAATATATTTTTTTTAGTATGATTTGAAATTTTTTTTTTCGTCGAATTTAGGCACCCAGATTTTCGGTAAGGAATTTTTTTCTCGAAAGTGGCTAGGATTTCGGGGATATATGTAATCACTAAAAATGATTGTAAAAGACCCCCGCAACCGAAAATAATTTTTTCAGAACGATTTGAAAAATTTTTTTTGTCGAAAAATTGCTGCACATACACGATTTTTTTTCTCGAAAATGCGCAGGATTTCGGTGGTATGTCTATTCACCAAAAATGATTGTAATGGACCTCCGCAATCGAAAATAATTTTTTCAGAACGATTTGAAATTTTTGAACTTAATTGTTAACGTTTTAACGAAGCGTCAGTCAAGAAATTGATATTCTTGATTTTCCTCTTATTTTGGCCTATAGAATCTCCCATTAAAATTTTTCCCAGGGATGGCCGAACACCCTGCATTGCAGGTAATTAAGTAATTTCTAATTGGCTTCTTAAGTATTCAGAAACAGAGCGTTTATACGAAAGCATGAACACCGGAAAATGTTTCAGTAAAGTCACGATTATTATAGTTGTATCGCGTTTCAACTGTACCATAAAATTTGTCTATGTTTAAATACCTCAAAAATCTGTAGAGAAGTATCGAAAAATTGACTAAAATCTTTTCTTCTGTTTTTTGTAATTCCGTGTATACAACTCGGTAACATCGAGCTTGAAGAAAACCGGTAATACACTATTTTTAATAATACCGTTTTACGTTTAAGCTGTCCTGAATACTCGTTACGCGGATGTACAGCCTAATCCCGAAACCTTTCTAATTCTTTTCCCCTAAAAATGGATATAATCACAGTTAGGACGTTTCGTTACAACAATGCAAAAGTTACTGCATCATTTACATTGTTACGAGTAAGGTTTTGATTCTTCAACTTGTTACTTCCATTGAACATTATAAGGCAAAAGTTTAGAACTGTATCGATTACTAATTGTTTTCGTTATCGGTTACTTTCTTAACTAGTTTTCACAGACACGCGCGCTCGTACTGTGTTTCAAGTTTTCCTAACGTTGAAACAACGATGCAGCAGCGTCAGTCGCAGATTTCGCGCGTTTTGATGACTGATAATGAGCACAAAGTAAAGATAATACACAATATGATGATTGATGCGCACGCATACTGTCAGCGTTTGCGAATAGTTAGCAAAGCAGCTGTTCGTCGTTCAATCGTGAATACGTTTATGACTAGATAGAAAATAAATTTCGAAGGGAAACGTCGTTTGCTGGCTCGTGAAAGTGAACACGTTGATATAAAAATTTAGGGTAACGTTACAGCGTAGTGTCCGAAAGAAATAGTACACAATATCGCTACTTTATCGGAGGATATATCTTTGTAACGTTCGATGCTTAAATAATGTGAATTGCGCGTGTTAATCAAACCCCGAATCACTAATTTCGTTGAACCGATAGATAAGATTGCTTTGTTCATTTAATGAAACAAAAAATTAGTCATACACGATATCTAATGAGATTTAGTAACGATAAGGATTCCAACTTATTATTCTTGTATAGATAGGTAAATTGTTCGAAGCGTGTAATACGACTATGTAAAAAATTCGTTGAACTGTTTCCATATTTCATTGTTTCTTCGTTCAGTCCTGTCAATTCCGTAATCGCGATTCTAGCTCTCATAGCGCAATTCCAAAAGTAATCGATTTCTATGCCTCTTCTACTACGTACTAAACACAATTGACTATATCATATTAAAATTTAAATAACTCTACACTATCAACATATGTACATTCAGTGTATGATACATTTTGTAAATATTGTTACTGACCAATAAGTACTGAAACTATCACTGTATACAAAATGTAACTACGTAATTGCACGTGGATCAAAGGGAAATTAACGTAACAATCAACAATCAAAGATCGAACCGAAACGAAGCATAAGTACCTTTATATTCATCTCAAATCCCGACCGTTTGTTTCATAGTTTGAATCCGCCGCCGTAACAATTTTGAAACGTTTACAGCTGTATAATCAATACAGGGAGAAAGATCGATCCAACAATTTCATCGTCTATTCTTTTTAAACTTAATAACGAATTTAAGCTAAACAATCCTTGTCACGGTCCATTTCCATCGGGCCTTTGCCCCAAATCTTTCGGTTCTTCGTGTAAGGGATCAGCCCTACCAAAAGTCCGGAGAGAATGATCCAACCACCAGCCATGTGGAAAGACAGATCCCACGAATTCGTAACATCGAATAACCAGCCAGCCAGCGGCGGCCCAAGAAGATTTCCAATACCTTGGCACAACAAACTAAGGCCGTAGGCAGTGGTGAATCTCTCCAATGGTATCAGCTCCACGAGTATAACCGGCGTGAAGCTAAAGTTGCTCGCGAAAAAGAGACCGAACGCCGCTGAAGCGGCCATCAACAGATTGTAATAAGGCGTTAGTATCGACATTAGAATCGTTGCTATACCACAAGCGACTAGACACCAAGTGTACGTTTTGCTGACGTTCATCCAGGGTTGATCTCCAGCCCAACCGAGACCGATCTAAAAACAATGCGAAATTAAATGGAACCCTCTTCGAATTAAAATAATAACGTTAGTCTTGCTACGGGGCAGTTATTGAAATAAATGGAAAAGCTGGTCGCAATCGGTCAAAGAACCGTATCTCGACCCCCCTTTAAAAAGAAAAAAAAGGAGAGGGATGAATTACAAAGATATTACTTCGATTGATTATTGCTGGTACGACCAACGTTTTCTTCCATTTCAGAAATTGCTTTAACGTTGAGAAATAAAACCAATGTACCATTCCTATCGTATTGGTGATGCCAATAATGCTAAGGAGATTCGCAGCGTCGGATTCGGAATAACTGTTTCTAGTAAGGTGTTCGGCGAGATAAAAATAAGGCACGATAAACCAAGTAAACAACAAGATCGTTGACAGCGATAACAATAAAAAGTGTAGCTCCAGGAACATTGAGAAATCCATCATACCCTTCAGTAAGTCCAACAGCTCGCCGTACCACTTCTGGAAACGAGAATGTACGAATTAACGGCACAGTTTGGCTGGCGAATCTTACATTCGATCTTTTACGTTATACAAAAAGCATTTTGTTCGCGGCCAACCCTCTATAAAAGGAGCAATTTAAAGATTCTTGGCTCCTTACAGCAGCACAAGATGATATCAATGATAAATATAGTAAGTGATAGCTGTGAGTGCTCATGGTTGTCGAATTGATTAATAATTGTTACGGTACATCCGAGCAAATCTAAAATAAATCCCTCTTCCTCACCTCTTCGTTTTCCTTCGCCAATGTAGTCATACTATTCCTATAAATATCGGGGCAGCTACTGGCCCTTAATCTATACTTGTGCAAGTTTAGGGCAGCGCCTCGGTACATGACAGAGTTTCTGTGGACTCGGATGTCTTTGAAATAGTGAGTGTTCGTGTTAAATTGCCTCCTCAGCCACGGAAGCGAGTCCGTTCTGACGATACCACAGTTTAGTTCTCCAATCCGTTGTTTCGACACCGATTTTGCTTTTCGTCCTTCGGCCATCTAAGTGAATTTAAGAGACTTATCAAAGCATGCCCTTGCATCAAGTACCGCGAGTCTCAGCGGATTTTAACATCTGCGATTTAACGGTGCATGTTACGATATTGTTATGAAGAGGAATGCAAGCTTTATTTGAAGAAAAATAAATATTTCAACGTAACAAAAACGTAATTTTAACCACTTAAGCTGGAAACTGATTCACTAAACTTGAAATCAGGAAATGGTAAAGGAAGTTATTTATGTACAGGGTGTTCCACCACACCTGGAAAAAATTTTAATGGGAGAGTCTAGGGGCCAAAATAAGATGAAAATCAAGGATACCGATTTGTTGGTTGAGGCTTCGTTAAAAAGTTATAACATTTCCGACCACACGGTATATTTTCGAAGGAATGTGTGTTCACCAAAAATGATTGTAATTGATCCTCGTAACCAAAAATAATTTTTTCAGAACCGTTTGAAATTTTTTAATTTTGTCGACAAATTCGCCCATCTTCCTGAATTTTTTTCTCGAAAGTGCGTAGAAATTCGAAGAAATGTGCGCGTTCACCAAAAATGATTGTAATTGATCTTTGTAACCAAAAATAATTTTTTAATTTTGTCGACAAATTCGCCCATCTTCCTGAATTTTTTTCTCGAAAATGCGTAGGAATTCGGAGGAATGTGCGTTCACAAAAAATGATTGTAATTGATCCTCGTAACCAAAAATAATTTTTTCAGAACGATTTGAAATTTTTTAATTTTGTAGACAAATTCGCATATATTCCTGAATTTTTTTCTCGAAAATGCGTAGGATTTCGGAGGAATGTGTGTTCACCAAAAATGATTGTAATTGATCCTTGTAACCAAAAATAATTTTTCCAGAACAATTTGAAATTTTTAATTTTGTCGACAAATTCGCCCATCTTCCTGAATTTTTTTCTCGAAAATGCGTAGGATTTCGGAGGAATGTGTGTTCACAAAAAATGATTGTAATTGATCCTTGTAACCAAAAATAATTTTTCCAGAACAATTTGAAATTTTTAATTTTGTCGACAAATTCGCCCATCTTCCTGAATTTTTTTCTCGAAAATGCGTAGGAATTCGGAGGAATGTGCGTTCACAAAAAATGATTGTAATTGATCCTCGTAACCAAAAATAATTTTTTCAGAACGATTTGAAATTTTTTAATTTTGTAGACAAATTCGCATATATTCCTGAATTTTTTTCTCGAAAATGCGTAGGATTTCGGAGGAATGTGTGTTCACCAAAAATGATTGTAATTGATCCTTGTAACCAAAAATAATTTTTCCAGAACAATTTGAAATTTTTAATTTTGTCGACAAATTCGCCCATCTTCCTGAATTTTTTTCTCGAAAATGCGTAGGATTTCGGAGGAATGTGTGTTCACCAAAAATGATTGTAATTGATCCTTGTAACCAAAAATAATTTTTCCAGAACAATTTGAAATTTTTAATTTTGTCGACAAATTCGCCCATCTTCCTGAATTTTTTTCTCGAAAATGCGTAGGATTTCGGAGGAATGTGTGTTCACCAAAAATGATTGTAATTGATCCTTGTAACCAAAAATAATTTTTCCAGAACAATTTGAAATTTTTAATTTTGTCGACAAATTCGCCCATCTTCCTGAATTTTTTTCTCGAAAATGCGTAGGATTTCGGAGGAATGTGTGTTCACCAAAAATGATTGTAATTGATCCTTTTAACCAATAATAATTTTTTCGTGAATGGTTTGAAATTTTTTATTTTAATTTTTTAATAACTTTTTAACGAAGCCTCAATCGACAAATTGATATTCTTGATTTTCGTTTTATTTTGGCGTCTAGAATCTCCCATTAAAAGTTTTTCCAGGTGTATTTAGTCGGCCTTGATGTGACATTTTCAATAACTGAGAGAAAATTAATTTATAAATTGCATATCGAAGGGAAATTTCGCTTGCAAATTGAGAATTTAGTTAATAGGAGTTAGTGGACGATACAGTGCATAATAAAAAGTATTAAAACAAATTGGGAGGTTGTAAATAAACCAGGGAAAGGGGGCCCGGGTAAGTTAACGACTCGAAAAGAAAGAGCAGTCGTCGGGCAAATAAGAAAAGATCCACGACTGAGTGGTTCAAAGTTAGCAGCATTTGTCTTTAGACACTTTAATAAACAAATGGAATTCTATGTAAAGATAACCTCCATGGTAGGGTAATGAGGGAGAAGTCTTTTATTAATAAGAAAAGAGGCGATTACAATTTGCAAAAAAAATGTATTAGATATAGATTCTAACTTTTTGGAACGAGTAGCATTCTCAGTGAGAGAGTTCAATACGTTTGACTCTAATGGACGCACTATGATATGGGGAACTACAAACTGGAGGAGACTCCATCGTTTGAAAAAGTATTATAAAATTCAAAGGAGTAAATGCTTTTTTGCAATAAAATTTATATCACTTTGAAAGCTTGGTTATTCCAATATACATGTATTCCTCTTTGTGAAGATATCGTAACTTGTATCGTTAAAAACTAATTGTCATTTTAGATGTCTCGCTGTGTCTTCTTTGCGTTCAAAGTAACTGATATCGTATTGCTGATATACTAACTGCATGTTCGAACTCTTTGCCTAATAAAGGATTAGCCTCTTCGGATTCTTTTTTAGATATCTTTCTAGTTACGTGATTTTTTATGGGACCGGACACAGATCCTGAGTGAACGTTGCTTGCTACTTGCGAATCGTCAACCTTCGGTTCGTCGTTCGCTTGCTTGATCCTTCCAATGAAAACAAACTGAATTAAAAGCTTTGCGATCACTAATTTTACGTACTGTTTAATTCCAACGGCGATAGAAATATTAGTCGAGCGTAACAGTAACACATCACTCGATAAGTCCCCGGTCCGACACACACAGGGTGTTAAAAAGAAAAAAACCATTCAATATTTATATGGTATATAGGATACACTGTACCGAGTAAAAAAGCTTTAGTAAACGTAGGTCGAAAGGTCGACCGTTTTTTTTAGATATAAACATGTTCGCGGACTTCGGAAAGGCAAAACTATCGATAGTGAATATTACATGGTATTATTGGATCGAAAAATGATAGGAAAAAGTGCTGTTTCACCAGGACAATGCCCCGTGTCGCAAGCCGATGAAAACAATGGTTGAATTGGATGAATTAAGCTTCGAATTGCTTCCCCACCCACCGTACCACCCCCTCAGAGATAACTGGCTTTTTGCAGAGACGAAAAAGATGCTCCAGGGGAAGAAATTTTGCTGAAACGAAGATACGATTGCCGAAACTGAGGCTCTGTTTTGAAAGCGAAGGCAAATCGTTTTACACAAAGGGTATCGAAAAGTTAGAAGAGCGTTGGAACGAATGTGTCACTCTTGAAGAAGAGCGTGTCGACGAATAAAATGGAATGTCTGAAAAGAAATTTGTTTTTCTCAGTTAGACCGGAGGACTTTTTGAGTGATGTGTTATGTCCATTAATGCGGACCAAAGTTTGCAACCTCATTGACATCGTGACGACGCCCTTGTTCCCAATCTCTCCCACGGAATTGTGTAGATTTTTGTCCGAACAGCTTCTACATGCTAGAAGATTGGGATAGTTCTCCAGAATGACCTTGTACAGCCTCGGATTACTGGAAAGTAGCTCCAATACCTCCACGGGCACCTGTAATTCTCGAAAATGTACACTTTATATGACTTTCTCTTTGCACGTGTAGAAACTTTGTCTCTAATTTTATCCAACCTCCAGTTCATAAAATAAAAACTTATCGCACACGAGTGGAAGGGTTCTTTTTGTCAAGTAAACGCAGTGCAATTTTCATACAACGATCTTTATTATTACTCGAGTTATTGTTATATCTTCCGCAGCCTATCGCCTTCAACGGCTCGGTCATATCTTAACAATGATTTGGCCAATGCCCTTCAAATTTTACGCGCGTGTAAAACAGACGATCGTTCACCATCCAAACTAGAATTATGTCAACGTCTGCCTTTTTTTTTATCGCCTGAATAAATAGAGAATTTCACGGTCTCTAATATCGATCAAGATTATCTTTTATTTCTCTGTTTTAAGCGCAATCGCGTAAATGCGGGGAACTGAATTGCATGAAAATTATACTATGTTAATTTGAAAAATTTCCAAACGTGTATATTTGGAATCCTTGTTCTGTAATTGTATAATAATTATGTATCAATTAAACAACGTAGCGAGTGCAATCTAAAATGGTGCGCTCTCCGGTTCTTTTAAATAGCCCAATATATCTTTAATTAATGTATAATAACGATATAACGAAAATTTTATTAGCAAAAAGGTAAATGAAACAAACTTTATAATCACGTATAAAGGTTAGCTGTCGATAAAAATTGTTCACTGAACAATTAACTACTCTGCTGTGACAGTTTATTGTATCTTTATTATTTTCTTTTTGCTTTCTTATAAAGCGATACATGGTACATGTAAACAGAACTTAGTTGTTTCTGGATAGATTTCGCTAGGAGGGCAGAGATTACCATCGAACGAGGAGGTCATCTCTACTGCTATTTGGAAGGGTTAAAACGGTTACAGCATCGCTGAGAAAAGTGTATCGACTTGATAAATAAAGCTATATTTGACCGGAAAAAATACTTGTTTCTACGTCGGGCTGAAAAGGACAATGTTAAGTCCTAGAGGGGTTTTCGGGATCCATTGGAGATTTCGCCCTGGGCATTTGGAACGGGGCCCATGCGGCAAACACAGGCCCAACACAGCACTGAAATGAAGGTGGTGGGGCACATTTGTCGTTCCAATCTGCTAGAGTATCGCTTACACCCCTCGGTTTTTCCTCAGGTGCCTACCCGAGGTCCCTCGGGCCGGATGGGCTTTTACTACCGGTTTCTTTTGTTCAAAACCGCAAAATCTCGAACTTTGAGGCCATTTTTCGACATTATCCCATCTGGTATCGAAGTTAAAAATGGTATCAGTCGATTCGCCTTGTGCGAGACCTTTCCAACGGTGTATAGCATATGCTGTACGCTCTTGGGTCAGTAAACCCCTCTAGGACTTAACATTGTCCTTTTTACGTGGTCCGTGTTACGCTCGTCTGCGTCCCCGCGGTTCAAGCTCACCTTCTCGTTGTGCTTGACGAACGTGGGCAGATTAACGACGCTCCTGAACTTGATGTCGCCATTCGCTTCGTGGGGATCCTCCGTGGTGGTGCTGAGAATCTGTAACAAATACTCGGGCGCGTGGTCGTTCTTCAGCATCCTCCTGAGCTCCTCGACACCGGGGAAGTCGTCCACGGGACTGCCGGTGGACCTGTCGCACTCGGACTTGGTGATGGATTTTTTCGGCGTGGTGACGTTCTGTTTCTGCTGCTCGAGGATCCACCATTCGGGATCGCGCATCACCGCACCGCAAACGATCATGTTGAAGAAGGTGCCTGCCAGAAGCAGGCAGGTGCCACGCCAGCCGTACTCCTCGATGAAGAACGTCGTCATAGGCGCGTAGACGAACGTCCCGATACCGGTGCCGCATGCACCGAGACCTACAGCTAACGTTCGCTTCTTGTCGAACCAATAAGCGATGCTCACGACCGCGGTGACGTAGCACAGACCCAGACCTAGACCCGCTATGACTCCGAACGTCAAGTACATTACCTCGATGGTGTTGCTGAAGCAGCTCAACACGAACCCGAACCCCGATATCAGGCCGCCGACTATGGTCATGCTCCTGCATCCGTAACGATCGACGAGGGCGGACATGATGGGGCCCGAGAGCAACGGCACCGCCATGAACAACGAGCCGATCCACGCCGTCTTCGACTTGGACGCGCCGAACTCGTGAAGGAATTCGATGTAGAGGAGGCCGAAACTGAACGATACCCCGTCCGCTATCATGGAAATTACCAAGGACGCCAACACGACCACCCAGCCCCAACCGCCGTCCGGTACTTTGGGCTTCCCTTGCGCGTCTTTGATCGCCGTGGTCGTCTCGTCCTCCAAGTCCAACGCGCTGTCGGAATCGATGGAATCCCTCGAGTCGTCCTCGCGATAACCCGGGTTCGACGTGATTATCGCTTTCGATTCGAGATTCTTGTTTCGATCGACCGGCACGTCGCTTCCATCGAACGGGTGCGCCGCTTGGCAGTCCAAATCGCTTTTATTGGTAGGGCTGGCCCCTATCGTGAGATTCGGCGAGGTCAGGTAGCTGTTATCGATAGGCGTGGCCGGTAGCCTGTCCTCGGTACAGTCGGTCCCGGGGCTCAGTAAATCGATCTTGTCCTCCAAATCGTCCCCCAAGCTGAGGTCCTTGCTTCTACCTATTTCCGGCGAGGTAGTCAGGAAGGTGTCTTTGTCGGGCGACAGGGACTCCACGCTTCTGTCGATGGTGCGGGCGGGAGTGGATTGGAGCAGTTTCTCGTCGGCCAGGCTGCTGAGGTCCTCGGTGTTGCCGGAGTCCTGACAGATCCCTGAACTTTTCGTGGACGAGGCGATGCTGTGGGAACGGGAGAAATCGATCGCGTCGACGGTGTCTGGATCGGGCGTGAGGCACGGTGTGCTCGGAAATACGGTGGGGCTTCCATTTTGCCATCCGACGATAGGGGCCTTCCTCAATCCTCGATAATTTGAATTCCTTTGATCCCTCTGATGATCGTAGCTTCGATCCTTCGCGCTCAATTCGTCCTTTTTGATCACGTTCGCCGAACCGTTGCTAGGAATGTCGTTGTTGTTCCAATTACGTGCAGACTTGTACGATACAGTGTCCCCGTTCGATCCATCCTCCCTTTCGCGCAGAACATTTTCGTTTCTATCGGTCATGGTTCTTCTAAATATAGGTGATGGCCGAGTGGATCCAACGACGGGGCCAGCCCTTCAGCCCTCGGATCTCGCTCGGGAAGGATCGTCCGCGCCCCTCAGCTACCATAAGGACTTCCCAGCCGATCTTGGATGGGCTACTAAACGTCGGTCGCCTCAGCATGCACGCTTCGTCTTCTTTCTTGTCCTGTGGGGACAATTTCTCATTAATATCGTTGCAGAATTAGGAAACCGTTGTATCGAGATTATTGTAATTTCGGTAGATAAATCGAAATGACCGACCGATCTTCAAGCCTTCGGGGCATACGAAAAATCTGTTGCGTTTGGTTGGGACAAGGGAGTCACGTGGTAAATACGATTGTTCGTTAGTGCAGCGTTTCCCGAGTCTTTTTTAATCACGAAACACTTTTCACCTTGCAACATGCAAGGCGTTTGGCTATTAGTGGTCATTTTTTTAGAATGTGATTCTACAGGATATAATAAGACTTGCGTCTCGAGCTTTTTCACTCTCGTATGTATTAGGTCGTCCCATAAGTTCGTGCCATTCGATATTCTGAAATTGACGAAGATGGTTACTTTAAAAGGAGGTATCATTTGAAGAATTGATTATATTTTCTACAATGTGTGTTTTATAGTATATGTGTATAAAAAGGCACGTAACACATTAATTTTCTTCTTGGTAATAGGTTTAACAGGTACATAATACGTAATTTGTGTACGTGGGTGGCTTAAAGGTCAAGCTATAATTTGAAATATTCGTTTGCTTACAAGTTAGTAACAGATGGGGAATATAAGACAAAATATCTTACGCAGTACGATTTTGGCAAGTCTTCCTTGTTACAAAAATGTCTAAACTATTTTAGAAACTCTTACCTGCCAATCAATAGCGTCCGTGAAATAGTTGCCAAATATAAAGTGTTTCCTGATTAAATGTGTATTACGTTTTAAAATTGTAATTCTATCGTAGGTGTTTTGAAAGTATAGTGTGAAGTCTACACTTTAGAAGAGAGGTTCTTCTAAACAGTGTGATCATGATGGTTTTCTTTTAATTTGATCCATTTAGTCAACAATTTATAAAGTTCTTTCCCTACATACAGGGTGCACGGCCAACCCTAGGAAAAGTTTTAATGGGGGATTCTAGAGGCCAAAATAAGACGAAAACCAAGAATATCAATTTGTTGATGGAGGATTTGTTAGAAAGTTATTAACGTTAAAATTTACTCTCGTATTGAATTTTTTTCTTGAAAATGCGCAGGATTTCGGGGGAATGTCTATTCACCAAAAATGATTGTAATCGATCCCCGCAACCGAAGATAATTTTTCCAAAACGATTTGAATTTTTTTTTCCCGGTCGAAAAATTGCACGCCTTCTCGAATTTTTTTCTAGAAAACGGATAGGATTTTGGAGGTATGTGTATTAATAAAAATTGATTGTAATTGACCCCCACAACAGAAAATAATTTTTCCAGAACGATTTGAATTTTTTTTTCCCGGTCGAAAAATTGCACGCCTTCTCGAATTTTTTTCTAGAAAACGGATAGGATTTTGGAGGTATGTGTATTAATAAAAATTAATTGTAATTGACCCCCGCAACAGAAAATAATTTTTCCAAAACGATTTGAATTTTTTTTTCCCGGTCGAAAAATTGCACGCCTTCTCGAATTTTTTTCTAGAAAACGGATAGGATTTTGGAGGTATGTGTATTAATAAAACTTGATTGTAATTGACCCCCACAACAGAAGATAATTTTTCCAGAACGATTTGAATTTTTTTTCTCCGGTCGAAAAATTGCATGCCTTCTCGAATTTTTTTCTAGAAAACGGATAGGATTTTGGAGGTATGTGTATTAATAAAAATTGATTGTAATTGACCCCCACAACAGAAGATAATTTTTCCAGAACGATTTGAATTTTTTTTCTGCGGTCGAAAAATTGCACGCCTTCTCGAATTTTTTTCTAGAAAACGGATAGGATTTTGGAGGTATGTGTATTAATAAAAATTGATTGTAATTGACCCCCGCAACAGAAAATAATTTTTCCAGAACGATTTGAATTTTTTTTCTCCTGTCAAAAAATTGCACGCCTTCTCGAATTTTTTTCTAGAATGTGGGTAGGATTGCGGGGGTATGTTTGTTCACCAAAAATGATTGTAATCGATCTCCGCAACCGAAAATAATTTTTCCAAAACGATTTGAAATTTTTGAATTTAATTGTTAATAACTTTTTAACGATGTCTCCATCAACAAATTGGTACTCGTGATTTTCGTCTTATTTTGGCCTCTGGAATCTCCCATTAAAATTTTTCCCCAGTGTTGGCCGAACACCCTGCATATTTTACTGAGGGTGTGACTACTGTAAATATCAAACAAATACTAGAAAATATACAAAGTTATCATGAAACGAATAGAAATAGATATATATTGCTATTATTAACATCTACACGATTGAAAATACATGATGTCTCCAGAATTGTTGATACTGACCCTTATCATGATATACTTTAGGGGAGAACCTAACAAGTTATTAACTAATCATATTAAGGATGGCAAGTATCGTCACAAACTACATAAAAGAACTTCTCTTATAAAATGTAGTTTTCAGAATTCATTCCCAAAACATTATGGTAGAATGATTATATTTTTACGAGGGCTAATATTCATAATCTTTAAACCAATGGTTGTGTTATTGCTCCGAAGATCAAACAAATCGAATTCACAGAGAATGTGAGAGAGTATGAAATTCATAGAGTTATTGGAAACCGAAAAAGAAATAAATTTAAATTTTGTTAATTACAATTCTTCATAAAACACTCGTTCACACAAAATGGGAAACGCTGCTATAGTGAATGCTTTGTCTAAAGGTGAGCTTGGTTCAAGTGAAATGTTGCATTTCTTATTCTATTGGGATAGGAGCAACTTTTGAAACAAGTTCAACGACCAATTGCACGAGGCATTGAAGATCACAGCCATAGAATGTAACAATGGGAATAAATTTTTTATTCAGGACCGTGCCTGAATATTTTGACACCCAGGACAAGAATGTCTACACTTCGAGTGTACATAAATGGCTGTTTCGCATTGTTGTGATAAAATAATTCTTAAAATCGATAAAACCATTTTCCAAAAAATTAAAAACTAAAAACATTATGAAACCTAGCGTTCAAGGTTTACAAGACGTATCTTAATAAGCAATATTAACAAATCAACTACTGTTTCACAAATTTCGGAAAAATCTTAAAATAATTTAATTTCGGTTTGCTTTCAAGAGCGTTTGTTTGTACCTGTTCCCGCTCGTATTATTAATTTTCACGACAGGTGTTCAAACTTTTTACCTTCGAAATCATACATACAAGAAGAAAATAGAAAGCCATATTTTAGTATTTATTTAACACTAGATTTACGGGCATTGATCGCACGTATATTTGGTACCTTTCATGTTGACGATTACCTCGCAATACGATTTTTCTTTTAATTAGAGTATGTATTAAATTCAACATAAGTTGTTAAAAAACAATATTCACGCGTTCTGCAATTTTAAATATGGCGTCGGACACCCGTGAAATTGACGGTTTCCGTAAATCTAGCGCTAAACATATTTCAAAACACACATATAACGGGGAAAAAAAATTGGGTGTACCTTGCTAGTATGCAAAGTAAACAAGCAAAAGAATAGTATATGCTGGATAGTGCTACGGTAAAAGAAAAAAGAAATTACATTTTAGTATGGTAACTACGAAAAAAAAAAACAGAAGAGAAATATCTACTCACCATAGAGGTAATGTGAAATGACTTGTTTGCAGGCGCGCATGCGTGTTTAGGTTTAGGAATGTGCATGCGACACTGAACGGCGTGAGCAAATTAAAAGATAGGCGAAGAAAGGGGAAAAAATATTTAGTATTAGTCATCTAGCGATTAAAATTCGCTAATCGTTTACAGTCTACGCTAAAACAAGCAAAGCGTTCGATCGGTGAATCTTGTAGCTGTAAAAAGAAAAAATAAAACGGGGGGTGGGTCTGAAAAGAGAAAACTTCCTGAAACATTATAAAGTGCAAAAAAAAATAATAGATAATTATAAAACACATTTTTTTGTCTAAGGATATACAAACATGCATTAAAGTTGAACGATAAATATAGGTAAATGTATATTTCTATCTTTAACCTCTTCACGCCCTTGGCCCACATATGTGGACCTTTAGTTTTTTTTTTTTTTTTTATAATTATAATTACTGTCAATAATAAATAGACCCTGAAGAGGTTAAACTTATATATTGTAAGCAATATAGTAAGTAGCAAAGAAATATACGATTGATTCTTTGCAACGCGCAAAGATACCTTTATTCGAAATGCAATAATTAATAACCTATTGGAGCAAACGAATTAACGAAGAGTTTCCATATTTGAATATAAAAATATATTGAATATTCTCTACGTATGTATTCCCGGATGCTATTCCAGATTTTCTCTCAGATCGAAACGTCTTATCGGATTAAAAAATATTTGCGTTACAATATTAAAACAATTCGCTTTATCTCGTAGCTCGAACGAACCACGCTCGATTGGCAAACATTGACCGAACATAAAATACATCGTTATCTCCGTGACCGTTTTACAGAAGTGCCTTTTTCTACAGGTCGAATTTCAATCAGCACGCAGCTAACACGTTCAACGACTTTGATCGCCAGCGGGCAAGAGTATCGTCCTAAAACATTACACCAATTATCGCTTATATAAATACGAGAAGGTCGACTTCAGCTTGGAGCATCGGCTAGGAAAACGATAAGGAATCACCTGTTAAATAGCCATTGACTGGCTTCTGTGTACGTCATTAATGCTTCGACGAACATTACATACCAGAAATGATAATACGAATTACTAGATTGCGCGTTACATGTGAAAATCCACTGACCGTTGTCTGATTATCGACGCAGAGTCTAACGGCGCGAAATTGTGCAAAGTGTTCGGCCACTCCTGGGAAAAATTTTAATGGGAGATCCTAGAGGCCAAAATAAGACGAAAATCAAGAATATCAATTTCTTAACTGAGGCTTCTTTAAAAAGTTATTAACAAAATTAAATTAAAAAATTACGAATCATTCTGAAAAAATTATTTTCGGTTACGGGGATCAATTACAATCATTGTTGGTCATTAGACGTACCCTCGAAATCCTACCCGCTTTCGAGAAAAAAATT